CACAGCTAGATTCGTAACTGCTCTTGGCCAGAGCTAGAAGTCATCTCATTGGTGAGGTTATGTTTTCGTCAGATGTAGCAATGGCGAGCCAGGTGAAGACCTTCTCCATACGTTTCAGCCCACTTGATGGTTTGACGTAGAGTCTCAGATCCATTGATGCATTTGACCTGAAGGTGTACTTGGCGCTGTCAGCATCTGCTGGAACAGTGCGAAGTTTGTAATGGTGTGTAGAGCGAGAACTCGTCGATTTCGCTTTCATCGTCGCGGTCGATAGAGGAAGGTTTGGTTTGTCACTCAGCATCTTGACTCGAAGCTGTGTGTACGTCTTTGGCATCTTCATGGTGAGAAATAGTTGGAGGGTAGCTGAAAGCTATTGATGTGTTGTTTAACAAAATGCACTAGCTAAAAGCTAGTGTAGATCTTTCGAGTGTTTTGGAGTTTGAGAGAACTGAACAGATTATGAGAGGATTAGTAAGCTATGAAAACTAATCAACGAGAGAGAGTCACACATCAAAGGATCGTAGATCTGAACTCCCGCCGGAGACTGTAGAGTGCTGATTGAGTAGGTTGCGGTAGCCAATCTACTCACTCCCGATCCAAAACGGAACGCGTGGAAGATATCGTCTAGCATTTATCTAGTAGCGTGGAATCTCTCCACGCCAGCTAAATATCTAGCGCGATGTTTCACCATCGACCTAGTATGACTAGCGGTCATGAGAACCCTGTCTCAGTGACTATTCACGAAAGACTCAGTCATGAGTCGAACTCAAACCCTATCTAGGATCGAGTCGCGAATAAGGCTAAGAGCCGTGTATTGCAACAACAAAATGCAATCCAAGCCTGATTTTTCATAGATGCTCCATAGGAAACCTTGGAGATAGCAAATCCTTTTTGAGGGGTGGCTCTGTGAGTGGGATTTGCTATCTCAATGTATTGGTAAAGCTAATAGCAATTTGGTCAACACTGTTGCCATGGTAGTAAAATTCATTTTATTTTCTTCAATCTTTTCTTTGTGGGAACCACTCATTTCAATGCAGGATTCGCGAAATGACCACTTCTGTTGGAAATGACGGCTTCCGATTTTGGTTTGGCCTAAACGAAATTGAAATTGTCAAATGAATCTTCTCGGTCGCGCCAGTCCGTATGACGAAGCAGAGTTGGAGTCCACGCGTTTGTCGAAGTGAAAACGGAACTCCCCATCTCCAAGGCCACGCATCTCCAAAAGGCTCAAAGGACATCAGATCTACGAGCAGCTTCGATTTTATTGATGCAAACGGGTGACGACCTCCATGGTACACATCTACTCGAGCTCTCGTAGAAGTGTGCGAGAAAACCTGGCACGCGTTTGAATCTTTAAAACCGTAGCTGCCTGTATCACTTAGACTTCGAGACCGACGAGAGAGCTCAAGATTGCCCGGGGGAGCAAAACGCTAACCTTATCTGACCACATTATATCGTCCGGCTACTTAGGAACCAACGGTTGAAGCGCACCGATGCAACTGAACCTCAACACAACATCATCGTCGCTTTTCCAGATTTCCATGGGATCTTACAGCAGATAGTAGATAGTAGATCTACCCAAGCAACACTAACAACTAACTAAAACTTTGACCATGACAACGATATCTGGCCTAACAGCAAACTCCACTACGCCCTACTTGAATGCCAATAATCCCCAGAATGCCCCGGTTATAGTCCAGGGAAAGGTGGTGAGCACTCCAAACAAAGGTTTTGTGGTTCCATCAACTGCCTACCACCCTCGCGACTCTATTGTCGAACCCATCCACAATCCACAAGATTTCAAGCGCGATCCTTCTCCTCGACGTTGCAACGATCTGATATGGGCCATTCTATTCCTGATCCACCTAGGTGCCATGGTATGGGTCGCCATTTACTATATCCCTCAAATGACCAATCGCTTGGGGGCAGATTATGCCGCCGATGCCAACAATGACGATCATCGAAGATTCCTCGAAGAAGACCAAGATTGGAGTTATCAAAACATTGACAATGGATACCTGTACGACAACAACGCCATCACACTCAATCTACCTTCGACCATTGCTGTCGTGGCCGTCACTTGTGTTTCTGGAATTTTTCTGGCTACCACTGCCTTGGGATTCATGGTACTCTTTGCCGAAACGCTCATTCGAGTCGGATTTATCGCCACCGCACTACTCTCCCTCGTCATGGGCATGGCATCGGTAGCCACGGGGCAAATTGCGGCCGCCATTGCATCCTTCGTCATGTTTGTCCTCGTCACATGGTATGCCTGCAACGCATGGGCAAGAATACCCTTTGCGGCCACCAATCTCGTCACGGCAACTACCATTGTACGGGATAACTTGGGAGTTGCCGTATACGCCTATCTGTCTCTAGCACTGGCATTTGGCTGGGCGGTTTGGTGGACGTCAGCCACCATTGCGGCTCTCTTTGTATTGGGAGATTGTGAAGGAGATGGAACTTGCAACAACGATTTGGATCCCTTTCTCATATTCCTATTCTTGGCAAGCTACCATTGGACTTTTCATGTCATTGCCAATGTCGTCACGGTCACAGTAGCGGGAGTCAGTGGGACCTGGTGGATGGTACCCTCGGAAGGTAACCAATTCTGCTCCAAGGCGGTCACAGACTCGTATTACCGAGCCAACACTCTGGCATTTGGTAGGTTGCCATCATGATCTATCTATCTATTGATGTTGTATGATGAGTACAACATGATGACATACGTTTGGAATGGGATGTCTAACCGATTGATTGTTTCATTATAGGATCCATCTGCCTTGGGAGTCTCGTCGTTGCCATCGTCTCGGCCGCCAAAGAGATTATTCGGCAAATGAGAGACGGTAGAGATTCCGTCCTTGTCTGTATAGCAGAGTTTCTGCTCGGCTGCATTAAGAACATTTTGGAATACTTCAATGAATGGGCGTTTTGCTTTGTCGGGATCTGTGAGTTTGTGGGCAGTAGTTTGGGGGGGNNNTGATTTGATCATCTATCTGAACTCACACAATACAATGCTCAATCGTTCGCTTTCGTACCTAATTCCATGTGCTACAATACAGACGGATACTCCTTTGTAGAGTCAGGGATGCAGGTCATGGACTTGCTGAGAAGTCGAGGTTGGACGTCCATCATTACCGATGATTTGAGTGGACGCGCACTCTTTATTGTCTCCTTTTTTGTAGCACTGTTGAATGGGTTGATCGGGTGGGCCTTTGGTTCCGTGATACCCTTGGGCGAAGGCGTGCCAGAGATTGTACCATTTCTGTAAGTACCAAAAGTTGGATGCTTGTTTGTGAACTCTCAGTCCACGGCGCCTCTTGACGAGCTCAAACTTCATTTCTTGACTGCTCTCGCCTTCAGCATTGCCATGGTGACGGGTTTTACTCTATGCTCTACTCTGTTTAGTGTGGTTGGAAGTGCCTGCAAGTCCGTAATTGTCCTCTACGCTGAGGCACCAAATGAATTCCAGGCAAATCATCCAGAACTATCCAACCGAATGAGGATTAGTTGGCAACAAGCATGGCCAGTAGACTTCAAATACGGCTAGTTCAACACATCATACATCATGTACCGTACAAGCACAGTCTCAAAATATTGTCTCGACCAGTACTCAGTCCTTAGCCCTCGAGTTTCCTCCGCGAACAACACGTCACAGGAGGCAGTCGAATCTCTTCTCTCGAGGAAAAGTCCGACGTCGAAGGAAGGAGTGTCACCCCCTCCGGTAGCTATCACCGGTACAAGACTAGGATGCACCATGGATCCCAACGGTACCGTGCAAGGGAGGCACAGATACGAGAGCACAATGCAGAGAGTCGAGTCCCAAACAAAAGTTGTTTATCTTAGGAAAGAACATGTATACCATAACAACCTAACAATGATGGATAGTAATAGTAATCTATCTCTGGGACCAATCCAAGCGAGGCTTTTTGCGCTGTACCACAAACATTTAAACGTAGAGAGGGGGACAAGCAAACAGCGAAGGCAGCCTTACACACTGTAAAACACCTTTACGTTGACAATTCATTCAATCCAATGGCGAGCTCGTAGATGGGCGACCGCATGCGTCCACCCACACGCGAGCTGTCACCTGTGGATCAGGAAATTCTAAATACATGGTTCTGTTGATGATGTTGATTGTTTTTGTTTTGTAATCAAGCTCCGGACAAATTCAGTTCGGGCCAACCTGAAACCCAGGCATCGCGCATTTCCTGACTAAGTTGAGGATGATTGGCAGCAAACTCTGCTGGAGCTTCACAGTAGCAAACAATGACTGTATTCACTGCGGAACCGACAACTCCCAGGACAATGTTGGAGAGCACCATGCCAATGATGAAACCAATGACAAACGCAATGATTCCAGGATTCTCAACTCCCTCAGTTGCCAGGGTTCCTTTGCCTACCAAGAGACCAACAACACCCGCAACGATTCCAATCCCGACACTCATCATGCTCAAAACGTTGTCCACCAGATCATCAGTGATAATGACATTCCACCCCCTTGCCTGGAAGAGGTTTACGACTTCTCTACCGGCGTCGAGGTAGCCAAAGCCATACATCCCAACGTAAATGTAGGCCCACTTGTTCAAATACTCGATCATACCTTGGATGCAAGATAGAATGCAGTCTAGGATACAAACCAAGATCTGTGCGTCCTCTTGTTGGCGCGCATACTCCAGTGTCATGCGCAAGGCTTTGACGATCGCCACCAAGAATGCTCCAAAGCAGATACTGGAGCAGATGACAAGTAATAAATCATTGGGGTCAGCAAAGCTTTCATGTCTGTGTGCATGGATCTCTTTGAAGCGTAAAACAAGACTTACGATCCAAAACTGTAGGTGCATGCCCGAATAGAAGAGTCTTGCAGGGCCGACGAAAAGCAGGAGGAAGCCTCTACTGGTGCAAACCACCAAGTTGCCTACTCAGTAAGAGTGCAAAGCCGGAACAGCAGAAGAACAAAATTGAGTGAGCAGTGCATTGGGAAAGTAGCTATACCGTAGTAGTCTGGATTCCTTTGTCTCCAACTATTTGATATCTGATGTTTGCGTTGCTTGCTAGCAAGAGCCATTGCTTACCACAACTCCTGCAAAAGAATGGAGAGCACGAACATGCTTGGTGAGACGGCTTGCTTCGGTCTAGTTTGTTCTTTTTGTTGCTTCATTCATTCCTTTCTTCTTCTCTTACCTGCACAAATGACATGGACCGTGTACACTAGAACTTGATTGACCCAGTAAAAGCTGACAAAGAATGCAAAAATGACAGGATACGAGGATTGCTGAAGTCCGCTTCCAAATCCGACCATGAATAGAATGGACCATGCAAATCCCAGCGCCATAAAGACGTATGCGACCAATACGAGTCCCATGTTGAGTTTGACGGCCGTCAATGCCGTTCGTAGATTGGCCGCCGCAAAGGGGAGTCGATGCCATACCATTTTGGCATAGCAAATCATGACGGCAAATCCCATAAATCCGAGCACGGCAAAAAAGGTTTGTCCCATCATGACACAGTAAATGGCCATGAGAAGTGAGGAAATGACGGAGAAGATGAGAGCGGCTTTGACGAGTGTATCGGCAAATCGCATCATTCCATCCAGAGACAGAGAGGAGAGTCCAACGGAAACGAGAGCGACAATGGAAATCCAGTAGAGATGGGGAGCCACCGAAATGCCGCTGCCATCTCCTTCTTGAGACGAGGCACTGTAAATGGCATAGAGAGCCACAGGGATGAGGTGGACAATGAAAAGTACTAAGAGACAGAGAAAGACAGAGCGTGCAGAGATTGATCGATTAGTTGGTTGGCCAAGCTGTACAGCAAGAGAGAAAAGACAAGGCGACAAATCAAATCGATGCACTAGATAGCAGCACTCACTTCCCCAGATGACATCTCGGAATTGATTTGGCTGTTTGGCATGTTGCATTCCATTACCGGCGGCTTGCTGCTGCTGTGGCTGGGCTTGAGCAGGTTGGCCGTAATCGTAGCCCCCGGCGGGCACCATTGGCACCGCCATGGGATTCTGGTAGGGATCCGAGTTGGACTTTCCATGGTCCACCGTCACCCCTTGCACAATCGGGATGTTGCTCATGATGCAGAATCAAATCAAATCAAGTGGACAGTGTCAAACCAATAGCTCCAACGTAGATAGCTAGTAGAGAGCAAGAGAAAGAAGAAAGAAGCAGAGATTCGATAGTAGTCTCTTGTTCCTATTCTATTCTAGCAGTCTAGTCTGTCGTGATGACTTCCCCGTGTTCTTTCTTGCATGGAGATTGACCGGCTGATCCATCATTGTCTTCGCCAAACTTCTTTAGCTTTCGTCAGAGACCTTCCACAAGGAATAAACGGATCTTTTTATTGGCACGCGTGCTGCCACCACCCTTCAATCCTCCATGCCTTTCGATCCTTTCATCATCCGTGCGCGACAGTGGCATACTCGTACTCGTACCGACAGCCATTAGAGGTTTGACCAACTAAGCTGCAGCATTGTTTTGGATACTACCAGATACCATTATCTCTCCTTGGATACAGCTCTGGCAACAGCATTGAAACGGGAAAGTCATTATCTGCTGTGAGAAGGATCCAATTGGGAGAGATTAGCTTAGCTGCCTCTTGGTCGAGGGTATATACCCACGCATATCTTTGGTTGAATCAATCATTCATTGGAAGTGACTCCCTTCATTGCTTCAGCCTAGCCAAACCTTACTCGGTTGCTTCACTAGTTTTGGATTTGGGACGATGAGTGGCTACAGCTACGGAAATTCGGCGCCCCCTCCGCCTCCGCCTCCTCCCCCACCGCCAAACTACCAGTATGGCCAACAGCAGCAGCAACAGCCGCAACAACAACAACAACAGCAACAGCAGCAATATGGTCAGTACTACTACGGCCAACAACAGCAGCAGCAGCCATATGCCAATCAACAGCAGCAGTACGCACAACAGCAGCAGGCTTATCAGCAATATTCGCAACCAACCCAAGCACAGTATGGAGCGCCGTCTCAGCAGCAGGGAACCTACTATAATTATGGAGCCGCCAATGCCTATGCCAACACGGCCCAGGGCCAACAACAACAACCTGCAGCTACCACTCCCACGGCTTATGGACAACCACATGCCTCGACTTCTTCCTATCGATCTCCCTATGCTGCCCCACCACCGGCTCCTCCAGCTGCTTCTCCCGCTCCACCAAAGGTCAATGCCAAGGCGAGCTCCCCTCCACCCCCCATGCAGCAACCCACTGCTCCCTTTCAGTACCAGTATGCGGCATCGGCACTCAATGACAACAACAATGCCAATGCTGCTGTTTCCAGTGGAAGTCAAGAACCCTACGGAGAAGTTGTCCCGTCGGCTACCTCGGGGCCGTCCGCCAGTACCTTGACGCATCGCAGTGATGCCAAGCGACACATTAACCAACAACCACAGGCTCCGTCCTTTGCCACCTTTGGAGGATCTTCCTATGGATCACAACATGCTGCCACCACGTCTTACGGAGGATCCGCCATGAATTTCTTTCAAAGCAATACGGTGGAATATCAACACAATCGTGTCGCCGTTGTCTTTTTGGTACCCCCACTGCTGCTGCTCTTTTGGTCATTTGAATCACCCTATCCATTGCAAACACTCATCTTTTTGACATTGGCCGTATATGCCATGGACATGGCCAATGCCAGAGAATTACTGTCCGTGTTCTTATGGGTCAGTGCCGCCATTTTGACAATGGTCACGGGGTGGTTCCTTTTGTTGGATACACCCGATGACGAAGATTCGGGATTGACAACCTTGAGTATCCTCATGAGGACCGCAGGACACTGCTTTTTGTTTCTTTCGGCGGTACGTATCTTCCTTCCTCATGATTGTTATTATTTCTATATGGAATTGCTGTGAAACTCAACAGGATTCATTTATTTTGCCTAATAATTTGATTCGATTCGATTCTTAACAGGCTGCTTGGTGTACCCTGCAATTTGCATGGCTTCACTCGGAAACACCCTCTTGGGCGATCTCCATGGAACGTATGGTGCACGCCATGTTGCCCCCCACGGCGGCTGCGGTCGTCTCGTTTTTTATATCTGGTACATTGGTAGGCGAACTAGGAATGGACATGGCGGCGACCTTGGCGCCACTCTTGTTTGCCTTTCTCCTGTTGTTGGGAATGATCTTTTTGGGATGCTGCGAATCGTCATTTGAAGCTACGCCAACCAAAGCAAAAGGAGGTAACAAACCAAACAGCAGTAATGGAGTCAACCATGACAAAAAAGAAAAAGCAGAAGACGACAATGCCAAGAGTGGCGGTCATCAAACCTCGAATACCACACCCATTCTCCCTTCGCGGTATGCCCGAGCTCATTCCACAGTACTTCTTCTTGCCCCGGGGTTGATGCATACCATGATGTTTCGACGCAGAATCATTAGTATGTACGTGTCCAGGGATGATTGGCTAGATGTCATTTTGGTTTGGACTATTCCCTACTTGCTTCACTACTTGCTTCATACGCTACATGTTTCGGGACGAGTACAAGGACCCTACAGCTTCCCATCATCATTCTTTACCAACCTTTTGTTCCCTCGATCCGGCAATACTCTCAGAGGGACCTTCATCCCTTTGGTCGTGTCCCTCTTGGCATCGGTGGCTTGCCAACAGCGATATTTGATCCCTCTGTGTCATCAAGTCTCGTACCAATTCAAAGGACATGATCTGCCATCCGGAGATATGGTCAGCATATTTTTGTCAGGCGCTACATTCTTTGTAGTTGCTGGGGGCTGGATATGGGGTGCCTATTCCACAGAAACCAACGAACCACTCTTTGGGGAATTTCACGAAGATGTGGTGCAATTGCTGTTTGCCTTGGCGGGCATGTTTGGTGGATTGGCTTTTGGCATGCCATGGGGACTGATCCCGTTGCCGATTCTGGCCTTTTTGGGATTGTCGCTTTGGTTGACGACGCGACTGGTAAGGACCTTTCCTTGTCAATGACGCGTATGGCAAACACATTGCATCACGTTTGGAGTTACCTAACTCTTTCCTTGTCCGACTATTTCAGCTACGTTATCTTTCAGTGTTCCTTTTCGTGGTACATGCGACAGGAGTGGTTCTTTTCTCTTACCGATTTGCTGGAATGGACAATACGATTGATCTGGCTTTGCCAAATCTAAGTATGACTTTGACTCGTTTTGGCATCTTGATTGTCCTGGCATCGGTTGCTGTTGGATTCGTGGCGGGCCTAGCCGTCCGATCTTCGGGAGGCGTGGGCGCAAAGATCATGAAAAAGTTGGACTTGGCAGGCATGCTGCTAATCTTTTACTCCGTGGTGCTCGCTGTAATTGAATGCACACTTCTCAATCAACCGCTGCCTGCGAAGGAACTGGCAGGAATTGAACTGGACCTATCCGAAATGGAGGACGAGGAAATGCTCTACGACGAGTACTACACATTCTTGACGAGTGGGCTGCTCATCATTATTGCCTTGTGCATGCAGTACAACAAATCGATATCATCCTTTTCGACGAACGTTGCGATAGCCTCCGCGGTTTCCAAGGCTATGACGGTTTTCATTGATTCAAACGACGAAAGCACCAGCATTCAGATCTTCAATGCCAGCAACTCCGTTGGCATGTTCTTCCGCTTTTTGTCAGCATTGCTGCTTCTAGTGGTCATGTTTGTGCCGCGCGCAGTGCTGAAGCCTATCCATGTCAAGTCAAGGTATAAGCGGTCGCAGCCTGCACTTGCCTCAAGCGGGATTGTGGAGTCGCTTCCAATGTCAGCAAGACCGATGATCATTCTATACTGCTTCATTATGCTGCCTGCCTGTCTCATTGTGTCGGTGCCCACCGTGATCCTACCTTTCATTGGGGCTTGTTCCAACGCTTATGGTGGCAGTTACTACGATGTGTCACCGCCACTTTCTGTCGTTCTTGGGTACATTATGTGTTTCTGGGGAGTGGCATCCTTGGGAATGTTGAACCATTATCTTCCGGATGCTGGTGGGGAGCTCTTCAAGAAGTTCTCTGCTCTGACTTTCTTGATGTCGATTGGAATGATTTTTGCTGCGCCATCGTTGCCCGATTGGGTGCACGACGTTCTGACCACGGTATCAGCTGGAAAATCTCCGCAGCTGCTGTTGGAAAAGTCTTTCAACAAAGCTTTCAACAATCCATACGCCACTTTATCAAGCATCGGAGTGGAACTCATTCGCGGCAAGAAGAGTCGATCGGGTGGCTGGGGGCTAGTAGCCGCCATCTTTGCTACGCTTTTGGCAATCACTGGACCATTGGAACTTCGGGAAAAGAAACATGCTACGGGACGAAAGGACGGGTTCTTTCTGTTCCGACTCATGACATTCAGCGTCATGTTTGGCTGCGGAGTCTCCTGGTTCGTCGTGATGCAGAACATGAGCGAGGAGAATTTCTTGGTTCTGGTGCTGTCAGCAGCTTCATGCATGGCGGTCTCCTTCTTTGGAACTGTAGCTACAGTGTTGGGGTACTTTTTGGAACTTGAAAGTTTTGAAGAGGCAATGCAGGTGTCCTACGTTTGGGTAGTTTCATTCCCTCTGTTCATGGGCATATCGTCGGTCCCCCAGTTCGTGATGAAAGGCAAGATCCATCCGTTCGGATCTGGCGGTTGGTTATCCACCTACCTGGGCATCTATGGCCTCTCTGCCATTATGTTTGCGTTGGCACTTCGGTCAAGAACAACAAAGAACAAAGACACCAGAGCGACAGGGAACATCAGTTGTGTTTTTGCTTTTGTCTGTGCCATTGCAGTTTTGTATGGCAGGTTTGGTGTGGCCGGCCTCGATGCTGATTTTGACGTTGCTACTATTCTCGGCATCCCGGCCTCAATTTTGGGAACGTTCATGGTGTCACCCATCTTGTTGCTGCTTGAAGGTGAATCATCGACGGAAGGGCGAGGTGCGCGACTAAAGCGAGTCGCAGGTGCTGCACCCAAGGGAGGATCAAAGCTTTTCTCATTCATGAACATCAAGAACTTGAACTCCTCGACCAAGTTTGTGCCGCCACTCATGGGCAGTGTTATGGTTTTTCTATACGCGTCCTTGTACGTGATTTGTCTGCGTGGCTCGGGCATTCTTTTCTTTGAGACGATTGCCAGCAACCACGAGGAAGTCTACAAGGCCGCAACCGCCGCCAATGCTGCTTCTCCAAAGAGTCCAATTGATGACTTGGCTTCTTTGTACCAAAAGGCAATGGCCAAAAACAAAGCAATGTATGCGTCCGCTAAACTGGCAGGGGCTGGTTTCTGGACGTCGAATGACATTTTTGGGCCCCTTTTGCATCTTGGAGGTGTTGCAGCATGTCTCCCCAGTCTCTACCTGTTGACTCGATACTTGTGGTCCGGAGGCGGCGGCAGTACCAACACGATTTCTGCTGCGATGGTAACCCTGGCGCTGCCTTTGAATGCGATACCCATATTCCTGTGTTTTGGCATTCCAAGTCTTCAGGCGGCTGCTTGGGTCGCTTTGATTGGAGGCCTCTTCCAGTTGTTCAACATGCGCTACCTTGACAAACAATCCAAAATGCGAATATAACTACCACTAAAGTAACGAACATGATAGCTAAACTCAAACATCAGAAAGCATGCGTGTTCCGTTCCCTTGCCTTCTAGCTAGCTAGACTATGCACGTTTTTGCATGCATGGTCGCTGTGAAGACATGTACAGGCATCACGTACGTGCAAATTGTTGAAGAGCTGTTCGTTCAGAGATACTGGTTGAGCTCTTGTGACCGGCTGTGCCTTCGTAACGGTGCACACATGAAGCGCTTTGTGGGTTGGTGACGATTGAGAGATTCAGTCCCACTGTCGGCAAGCCTTGGGTGGGACCAACGTCAAGCCGGCAAGGAGGAGCCTTCGCCGCTGTTCCAGAGTTATCGAAGCTCACAAAGAGCCCACAATTCCCAACAAGCAATTTCAACAAAGGAAACAAAAACACATCCCACAAAAAGCTAGTCTCAGAGAGAAAAAAGTCGAATAATCCACCTAAAGCACTACCAGGTATCAATCACTTCCAAAATCAAACTGAACAACTCAATCCAAGTAACCTCAGAAGCAAGCAACCTGAACTTACTAGCAAACTCACCCAACGGAGAGAAATCAAACAGCAGTTAAAAGTCGAGGAATATCCAAGTTGAACCCTACAAACACGAACTACAATGGCTCCACTCATCATCCTAATCGTTGCCATCGCTGCCGTCGCTGTGAGTGCTCTGATAGGCTCGAAGCAGAGGGTCATGTAAGCCAATAGTTAAAGACTGGCCAGGAAGGCACCGGTGTGGACTATAGGACACGGTGGCCCGAGAAAATCCCACCCCTTTGTACTTTAATTTTTAATAGGCCTATAGAAGCAGATCTTTAAACTTATGTCTCCAAGTCTCCACTGCGTTCGTGCCGGAGCGGAAAGCCCTCTACAAGTAAGAGTAGTTCGAGCTCGAGGAGATCGTCCGAGATCAGCTGGCAACGAGTATGCTCTTACGAAGGCTGTTGTGAAGCAGCCCGGGAAGGACGGAGGCAACCGCAGCTAGATTCAACAATAAAATACTTTACTGCGTAAAAGTTTGGTAGGCACGACATTGGAAACGCAGCCCTACTTTGCACGGACAATTGCATCCATAATCAGAGCTGCTTCTTTCATGGCCTTCACGTTGTGGACTCGTATAATATTGCATACTCGTTGTGATTGACCGATTGTATTGTCATCATTCCCCAGACAAAGGGCCGCCACACACGAAGCAACTGTTCCAAAATCACGTCCCTCTGCTTTTGTGACATGAGAAAGCTTTCCAATAAAGCCCTTCCGCGAAGTGCCCAATAAAATAGGCGTACTCTTTCCCATCCGCATGTTGGCCCGTAACGAGTTCAAATGCCGAAGCAGAGAGAGGTTGCCTTCCAAGTCCTTTGCAAATCCAATGCCTGGGTCGACAATTTGCATCCACCGAGGGATCCCAGCTGCTTCTGCAGCATCACAACGTTGATTGAGAGCGGTAATGACATCCTGAACGACCCCCTTTTCTGAATATTGATCCACAAAGGTTTGCATTGTTTCGGGTATACCCCGCATGTGCATCAAAACGATGGGAACTCCCAGACTGGCAACTGTCGAAAGCATGTCTGGATCAAAGGTTCCACCAGAAACATCGTTAACGATATCCGCCCCCGCCTCTATGGCAGCCTGAGCCACTTTGGAATGCCTTGTGTCTATGGAAATGGGAATATCCGATTCTTGGAGAAATGGAGAAAGGAAAGTGTTAATTCTTCGGATTCCAGCTTGGAAACTACCACAGCAGCCTCAGTTACTTACTGTGTCGTATTGCTTGAATGATTGGAATGGTTCTAGCCAATTCTTCGTCAATGGCCACTTCCGCTGCCCCCGGTCGTGTCGACTCTCCCCCGATGTCAATAATTGTGGCACCTTCTTGTTCCATTTGGAGAGCATGTTGAACCGCTGCATCCATAGACTCGGTCCACTTTCCCCCGTCACTAAAACTGTCTGGTGTGACATTCAAGATCCCCATGATCACAGTTTCATTGCTGAGATTCAGAAAGCGATTCCTTGGCAGTGGCATGACAACGACACGTTCTGGCTCGTCGTCGTTGCTATCCGATGACGGAGTCGTTTGGTCCAGCAGGATTGTCAACATTTCGGACACGGATTGACTTGACAATGGGTGTATTAGTTCTCCAGGTTCTGAATCATGTATACCATTCTGCTCGTCTTGTGGCTGCTGGTGATGAGTCAATCCGGCCACTTCGCACAGAGGCGCCAAGACAAATTCTCGCTCGGATATGCGGGGATGTGGTATGACCAGATCAGGTGTATCCATGACTGTGTGATCCCAATGCTTGTTGTCGTCTAAGCTTCTATAAAAGAGAATGTCAAGATCAACTGGTCGAGGTCCATTTCGAATGCCTGACTCCAAATCTCTTCCCAACTGGGCTTCAACAGCCTTGAGTTGATGAAGCAGTTCTGTGGGTGACAGGTTGGTTTCAATTTCAATCACTCCATTGAGAAATGATGGCTGATCTGTCACATACATGGGAGGTGTTTCGTGAAGCATGGATGTATGAAGCAGATTGATAATTGCATAACCATCGCTCCCACTGCCCAGTTGCTTGATGGCATTATCAATATTTTCAAATCGGTTTCCAAGGTTGGACCCCACTGCCACATAAACGCGAGCCAAAGTTGGCTTGACCGCTGACGAGTTATCCAGAGTACTATTCCAACGCCTAGCAGTGTCCCTTGTGCTTTGCGCAGGCGTAGCTTTTCGTTTCTGGTCTGATGAGAAAGATGGTTGTATCGGGATGGGCGACTCTTGTTGTGATGATCCGTGATGTCGTGTGGCAAACACTGGGAGTAGCTTTGGTTGTTTCCTTGAAGAATCCATGGCAGATGACCACCCACGGGGCGGATACCGACGAGTCAAATGTCTCATGAATGTGGGCTTGGCTACTGATAATGACATGGCAGAGCCAATTTTTGTAGTCCAAATAATCAAAAGTGCACAAAACAGCCCGAATCTACCGAAAACCTTCCCACAGAACATCCATTCATCCATTCGGGGCAGCAGACAAGAGAGGATGATCAGGTTGTTCTGTTGCCCAGCCGCTGTAACCACTGAGTGGACGATGGTTTAGTATGGGGTTAGAGAGGACTATGAATTTTGTGATGGATGCCAGAGGACAAGCGCAGGATGCGTTTTGAGAGTGGAGGCAAAAGAAAAATGAGGGGTGGAAAAGATCGCAGAGCACCTCATTAGGGTTAAGCTTTCTTGGAAGGCAGAGCCTTCATCACACAAAAGCCGAAGTCTAGACTAGACTATCTCTCGACCTCTGCCTATCCCAGCACCTGGTACCGGTAGCTAGCTCTGGCTGGATCTCTTTCGACGCTGTACCGGTAGTTAGTTTAGTTAGTTCCGCATGTAGCGGTACTTTTCTAGCTGGCCAGCAACGAACTCCATCTCAGCCAGGTGCCACCACAGGATTGAAAAAACTGGCAGGAGGAAGAGCTCCTCAGGCCAAGTCTTCTTCCAATTCTAGTCTTAATCAAATTTCAAAGTACTGTAGAATGGGTCCAAGCCCCGAACTTTCAAGCTACAGACACGTAGTTTGTCTGCTGAGAGTATAGTACTCGTGCCACGCTTCTCATCAGACACAATCCAAAAGTCTCCTGTTGCACAATTTGAAGAGCGAGCAATAATGCGACAGACACCTCCAGGAGTAACTGACCCAAAGGGTCCCCGTGTCTCCACCCAATCGCCTACTCGGAATTCACCCTTCTTGCGGCACAATTTGCTGTGCTGATCCTTCCAGTGTTTTGCTTGACAGTCACGTTTGCAATAATAAGTCACCTTGCAGCGCTCACAAACTTTCATTGGGCCAGTAGTACCTTGTTTGGCCTTGCCACAACAATCACACTGGTCCCCAGGAATGGCGGAGACACATGCCACACCTATGCCCCGGTCCCATTTTGTGGAATACAGTTTGTTTCGGGAATCACAAATAGCATGCTTGGCAAGTTGGCGAGTGGTGTCAAGGAAGTCACCAACTGTAACTGGACGCTTGTTATCCTTATCAGGAAGACACCTCAGCAGCACTGATTTCTCCTTGTCACTGGCTCCATCACAAGTGATAATTGCTTCTTTCATGTAATGAAAATATAGTTCATAGTCTCGTTCGATGTAGTACGCAATGTCTCCCAGAAGCTTCAGAGCATTGGCTACAAAGAATGCAGGTTCGGCGTCGGCAGATCTGATGATTCCTCGAAGGAACTTTTTGTCATCTTCTGTTACTGGTATGAAATCACCATACTGGTACTTCATGACATCATTGAATAGTAACTTGCAGTATCGATGGAAGGAACAGAAGAATGCCTTGTTCCACTTGCCATTGATCTTGCATTTCAAAACCCCCCTATACTTTTTGTTGACGACCTGGAGAAGTCTTGCTGTTCGGGCTTTCTGCTTGTCGGCTACCAGTGCCTGGCGCCACTCTAAAAGGTCTTGTTTTACGACAGCAGGGCCACCAATGACGACTGGAGAACCAACCGTTGGTGTTGGAGACACAGGTGGCTTCTTGACGGCTCCGTGACTATGCATAGCTCTAGAGTGCTTTTGATTTCCAGCTCCAGCACCAGCATTGGGGCGCTTCTTCTTGGATCTCTTCACCATTGTGACAGCAGCAAAAGGAGAGTCAGACGATGACAACGACGTCTATAAGTGTTCCAAAATCCAAATCTACAAAAATGAAGCCGTTGCTTTTGTTCCGGTTTTTAGGGTTAGGCCTAATTGTTTTGATCTTTCGTGTTTCCGCGAGGTTAAATCGTGCGGTTCTAAAGGATTTAACGATTGAAGATTCTTCCGAAGATCAATCAACGCGCACACCATCAACCATCAACATCGACACTGGTTGAAGGTGGAAGCAACGAGCAAGAAGACAAGAGCCAAAGAGCAATCGTACATCATCTCGATAGAGGTTTCCACACCCCACCGAACAAAAACTCACCACTACCGGTACTAGTCTACATCCCATTTGTCTGTCCCCCTTTGATTTTCAAGATGACAATTCTGGGCAACAGCGACGACGACAAGAAAGAGGACACCATGATGGATTTGCAGACCCGATTGGTGACGGATGACGCTCTGGCCAATGCAGCCTATGTGCAACACGATGAAGAGGCCCAGCAATCCAATGTACTGGTGATTCAAGTAATGGACGAAGTGGCACAAAAAGGAGAGAAGCAACCGAATCAGTTTCGCGATGCACCGTTTGGATTCCTCTTTATCCTCCACTTGTTGCTGGTTTCCTTTTTTGCCTGTGCCTGGGGATTGCCAGCACTCTTTGCGGCGACTTCTTCCTCCGAAAACGACAATACACCTTCTACTTCCTTTTCCGGTGTCCTGGGTCTTTGTCTCTTATCCAGTCTGGCCTGTGTGTTCATTATTGCCGGGACTTTAAGCTTTTTGATCCATCATGCCGATATTGTCATTCAATTCAGTCTGGTACTCAGCACGGTCATGACATTTCTCATGGCCTTGGTGTTTGCTGTCAAGTTGTTCATTTGGTTTGCCATCTTTTACTTTGTGTTGGGAGCACTGGGAGCCTGGTACGCTTGCAGCGTATGGAGCCGCATTCCCTTTGCCAAGGCCAATTTGAAGGTAGCCACAACCTCCATTCGGTCCAATCTCGGTGTGGTGGGTGTGGGGTTTGGACTGGTGGCCGTCTTTGTCGTTTGGGTGTGTCTCTGGATGCTATCCTTTGCGGGAATTTACATGCACACTCGAAAATGTGACAGTACTACAGGAGAATGTGATGATGGAGCCATGGGACAAATCACTGGTATCGTTTATCTCCTCAGCTTTTACTGGACAGTCCAAGTCATCAAGGTGAGCAGTCAGTAAAAGCATTTGCATCATACTGGTACACATTCCACTCATGGTATTCGCCTTGCTTGCTTTGTATAGAATATTCTGGTCGTCACTGTGGCTGGTACGGTTGGCACTTGGTGGTTTGCCCCCGATGAAGCCAATGCCTTTTGTTCCGTCGCCATTACCGATTCCCTCTCCAGGGCGTCCACTTACAGTTTTGGATCCATCTGTCTTGGAAGTCTCCTCATGGCTATTATTCAGGTGCTGAATCACATGATTCACAATGCCCGACGCAATCAACGAGACTCGATGCTTCTCGCCGTGTTGGAGTGTCTGGCCAATTTGTTGGAACGCATTGCCGAGTACTTCAACAAATATGCTTGTATCTATGTTGGTTTGTATGGATACGATTACGTTACTGCCGGAAAGCGTGTTCTGGAATTGTTCCGAGAGCGTGGATGGGACACCATTATCAATGATCAGCTGGTCTACCGAGTACTGACGTTGATGAGTTTTGTAGTGGGTGGTCTCACGGGAATTGCAGGCATGATCATAGCGTCAATGGCCCCGAGCTGGATGGAAGCCTTTGGAGATGACAGATACAGTGCAGCCTTTCTACTTCCGTTCCTGATTGGAACAGGTGTGGCACATGTTGTGGTAAGTTGTTGGAGGTGGTTGCCTGACCTTGCACGTGTATGCTGAATGAATGCTGACAGTCTCTTACGGTTTCCTAATTCTTTCTTTGTCTCAGCTTGGTATCATTGCAAGTGCCACGGACACTGTATTGGTATGCTTTGCGGAAAGCCCCAACGAATTCCAATCTAACTATCCTCAGCTGAGCCAAGAGATGCTCACGGCCTGGAGGCAAATCTATCCAGAGGAGTTTGGATTGTAGTACCTAGCGCGGCATCACGACAAGCCAAAAGAACGCAGTCCAACAAATAGAGACACAGCAACTCATCACCTCTTGCATACAGTTCATCATCCACTTACTAGTAAACTATCTCTATGCTACTTTACCTGGATACTTTGTTGCCCAATTTTAATTAGCCACATGAACACAAATTGGCGGCTCGTCTTCGTGGTCGCGATCTCCTCGTCAGTTAGGTTAGTCCAGTTAGTCGAAGATCCGTCGAAGATCCCTGGCGACGGTCCACGCGAAGGATGTTGTCTTCACCCGACAGTTCGTTGGGTGCAACACAGAGTCTTCTTCATAATAATATTGAATGCATCAACCATGATATCGCCTTGGCATCCAAGTTGCTCCATTTTCTTGTTATTGTCCTGGCTCTCCTTGGCAGAAAGCCAAAAAGTTGCCATTATTGGTGGTGGTCTCTGTAAGAATGCTTTGATGGAATGGTCTTGTTATGAAACGATGTAAATGTGGAATTCTCATGTTCCTTTGCTGTTCTGTGATGTATGTTATATATAGCTGGCACATTTACTTCCAAGTACCTGGTTGATTTGGATGGCAAAGGCTGCAATCTCGATTCCATTACCATTTTTGATCCCCTTCCCATCGGTGGACCAGCTCCCACGTCCGATGACGATTGGCAAGGCAGCCGTGTCTCCTCGGTCGCATTGCCGGATGGACGCATTGTGGAATTGGGAGCCTCGGTCTTTCACGAAGCCAATCAGTTGGTCAAGGACATGATTGACAATGATCCTGCCTTGGAAATTGGAACACCCTTCAATGTGGGGAATGACGCAACCATTCAACATCATGTCCCTCCTCGAGAAGGACTGGGTATTTACGATGGTGATGGAGCATGGGCGTACATGGGGAATAAAAGTGATCCCTGGAATACTGTCAAAACCGTGCTTCGCTACAATATGGATCTCTACCGGGTCGATCGAGCCACACAACACGCTCTGGAAAGCTTTTTGGAAATTCCGGCATTGCTCAACAGCACGGCACCCGACACCTTTTTTGAATCTCCCGATGACATGTGGCAACGAGTCCAGTTGCTCAAACCGACCCATGCATCGTATTCACAATTACTCGATGCCATGGGAATTTGGGCCGAGGATTCCTGGTTTCATTCCCTCATTCCTCATGGTGGTTACTTGGGATCCTTACGGAGAGAATTATTGACGGCAATCAACCTCATCAATTACAATCAACCCAATTCACATATCAATGGACTCGTGGGGTTGGTTAGTTTTGCCGCCAGCAAGGGACCTCTTTACAGTGTCGTGGGAGGGAATCAACAAATGATACGTTCCGCGTTTTCACAAGCGCAAACCAATCGTCGACAGAATTGTCAACAAGGCGATGGCCTCAATGTTGTGACGCACGTCGCCCAACGAGTGACCACCGTCATTGGAAGCATGGATGGATTTGAACTCTTTGCCGGACAAGAAGTACTGGGAACTTTTGATGCAGTTGTATTGGCAGCACCCCTACAACAATGTCGCATTCAGTTTCTCATCCCCAGTCAATTTGATTCGGCCGTACTGCAGCCCATGCCCTTGGCAAATGCAATGGTCGATACAGACAAGGCAGAGTCCCAGAAAGATCATGAAGGGCATCCAGTGTTACCCGACAAACTACCAGACTGCTCCCGTCGACCATTCACACAGGTTGTCACCACTGTAGTGAGTGGAGCCACTCTGAATCACGAGCACTTTCACATTGACAAGGACAAACTGCCACGGGCTGTCTGTGTGACGGAACGGGGGAAAGAAAAGGAAGGAGGCATCACTGTCATCTCTGAAATTGCTGGAGATGGCGTGTACAAAATGTTTTCATCCAATGTACTGAGTGAGGACACGCTGAAAGGGCTGTTTGGGCCAGGTCATACTGTGGAATTCGTCAAGGTAAGTTCATCAAGGCTGTTGCCAACCAGACAAGTGCACAAGTACTATCATGGGGCAATGAAACTTAGTAACCAACAACTTGCTACCAAATTATTGTGAAACAGACATGGGGTGGTCCACATGGAGGAGCCACTCCTGACTACCAAGGTCAAGGTGTCAGTGTGGGATACCTCTTGTACGACGGAGCCACTGGACTGGAAGGTCACACTAAGAACGGTGCGTTATACTACCCAAATGCCATTGAAACGGCACTCGCCTGCATGGAAGCCAGTGCTATCGGTGCCAAGTCGGTCGCCAAGCTGTTGGCACGGCGGTTTGGTATCATTCAACCATCGTCTCGCAAATCACACAATGGCGAAGAGTTATGATGACGATGATGGGCTGGATGGAGTCTTGCGGAATTTGCTTGGACTGGATGAAAGAAAAGGACAAGGTGCAGCGGCAGGTCATGCCCTGTGGATTGTCAAGTGATCCCCTTGTCTTGGTCTCGGTGTGAACTGATATTCGACGCTGGCTAGCTCATGATCACTCTTCTGTTGCTTTAGTAGCACTTGTCTCTCGTACAATATCTGCAACCTTCTTGGCGGTATCATCAATTGCAGTGTTCCCGTCTAGAATATGATGTTGAAACGTGACCGGGGCAAAGTTCCATTCGCTATTGTCGGCTTCAGTAGTTTCCTCTTTCTCTTCCTTGGGAGGTGGTTCGTCTGGTTTGCCTCCATAAAAGTGACCTTCTCGTTGCTGTATTCGTAGGTTGGAAACCTCTTCGGAAGTGTCTACAAGGATCCAAACAGCATGCGGAAATTGCGATCGAAACACGTCGCGTAGATCTGTATTGACAAAACTAAAGGATATCAGGGCTGCCAGTCGTTGGGCCGCGTATTTCTTGGACTGTTCTTGCTGGAACTGTTGTTCCACATAAGCACAGCAATCCTTGGCAAATTCTTGACGTTGCTGGAGTGTGGGGTAGATACCCTTGGAAAAGTTGTCTTTCATCCATTGCGGCACACAAACATCCAGATCAAGGCCGATACAGTGCAAATTGTTGTCACTGTCATCTCCACCCAGCAAGTCCAAGGCTCGATTAGCAATGGTAGTTTTACCTGACGAGCAAAAAAAAGGAACGACTCCAAGTGAGAAGAAGAACGAAGAAGTTGAATCATCAACACTGGAATTGGCCAAGCAGTTACTAGTATAGAACACAGATAATCAATGGAACAGTAGGGTACTCACCAGATCCAGGGCGACCAAACACAACAATCACGGATGGCTGCGAAAAGTATGCCTTGCTCAGCGTCAAAATCATTAGGAAAACGAGGAGACTAGCTAACCTCGCAGTAAAACTACTTGGACGTGCCATTGCGAAATACGATACTGCTGGTTGTCTTTCACACGATGATAGAAGTGATCTTTGGCTTTGGTCTCCAAGAGGTTGTGCCGTTGTCCCCTGATGCAAAGATCGGCGTCGTCGAGTCACGGATACAGTCAAGCCACTGCCATGCCTGCAATCGGGAGGAGCTTTGAAAAGGTATCTGAGGTAAATTATGAAAATTGCAACTTGCTACTCTAGCTAGCTAGCTGGTAGTAATGTTATTTTGTAATTTTATGCTATGATTTCAATATTTCAATAGATTATGGAATACCAGTCTTTTGTCAGCGTTGGCACGAGGTTCAGCTACCAGTCCATTGCCCGCCGTTGTTGCCTATGCTTTGGCCCTCCTTGCCTCAAAGACAACAAACAGACACCAAGCAAAATGAACCCAACAGCCATCAAAACTTCCCGAGCTTCATTGTGATTGGTTCCAGCTGCCCGCCTTAAGGAGTATTGCCTGGAACTGACAGGCGTTGATGAAGTAAGTGCTTGAGAACATTAGTACCTTCGCAGGGGAGCACCCCATGAAAGTCCTACACTTCCTAGCTAGTGAAAAGGATATTTGCTACAGAGGAAGGAGTAGTATTGCTGACACTGCTGGATGGGGCCAAAACACGGCTGCTTCTAAAGACACACTTGATAATGCAAGGTTTGGGAAACCAAACAAGAGGTGAAGATCTACCTCTATGAAACAAGCAATACTGCAGATTCTTGATAACAACACTCGATTGGAAGTAGCAGTGGTTGTGAGAACTTAAAATACAGTGACCAGCGTGTACTAGTTAGCTACGGTAGTAGCGAGTCCTTTGCTTGCACATGTACGTTTCGTGGTCGATGCCCGACTGCTTACCGAGTCTCTGGTGCAAGCAAATTGATTTGCTGCTTTCTTGTTCGGCAAGATCCGACAATCGCCTCCGAGGTTCCCTCACCAGACCGCAAAGATATTCAATCCCCTGAGCTACAAACTTATATCGGCTTTGGCAATTCAACGGAATGAATCGAATTCAATTCAAGTAATCGGTCAAAGTTTTTAAAATGGTAATTTACAACAGCAAAAAAAAACATGTGCACACCCCCAGATGGCATGTAGCAAAGCTTCCAAAAAGAAAATAAGAGTGCGCACACACGTCATGCTGGTGGATTGGTTGCGAGGTACGCTCAACAGAGTGTGTGCCTCCGGAGGATTGGGTTGTTAACGTTCCGCTTCAGAATGAGACACTGGCCATCGCAAAGATTGTCTTGATATGGATGAAACTGGCGAGCAAATAGCTGTAGGACGCCTAAGCGTGCTCTTCCAGCCAGGTTTTGACTTCAGGGTAAATCACGTCACTCATGGTCCCCGTGAATGTTTTGAGGACGTTCTTTTGGTCGTAATAGTCCACCAACGGAGAGGTTACCTAAGGATAAATGGCAAGTGACGTTAGTAAGAAACTACAAAGCAAGGGAATTTTGGGTGTAACCAATGTGAAACACGAGCTTCAAAACTCACTTGGTCGTAAGCATCCAACCTTTTTCGCACGCTTTCTGGCTTGTCGTCGTCTCTTTGCACGAGAGGCTCCCCTGTCTCGTCATCAAATCCCGCGACCTTTGGTGGCTTGTAGGAATACGAATACACTCTTCCTGAAGCAGGGTGGATCCAGCTGTGGATGAATAAATAAACCTCGTGAGCCACATTCTTTAGATTCGATTCTGCTGTCAGTCAAGAACCAATCAAGAACACCTACCGGTCCGCAATGCGTTCCACGATAGTGTCCGTGGGGATGTCCAAATTGACAACCATATCAATGTGCACCACGTCTTCCAATGCCATTGCTTGTTTCAGAGTTCTTGGAAATCCATCCAAGAGCAAGCTCTGACCCTCCTCCATGTAGGGGGTAGCATCTTCCACGACGAGATCAATCATTAGGGCGTCCGGAACAAGTTCACCTTTATCCATAAACACTTTTGCTTCTTTGCCGAGTAGCGTACCCTCACGGACGTGTTGACGAAGAACATCTCCAGTGGATACATGATGGAACTTGGGAAAGTCCTGTTAATGGTTGGTCCAAAGCAGCAGCAAAGGAAAATGAGAACACGGGAACTATCTCAAATGAACCGAACCAACTCTCTTATTCGCTTACCTTCAAAATCTTCTTGGAAATAGTACCCTTGCCGCCCCCTGGCTTCCCTAGAATGAGGAGAAAATGGTTCTCCTCAGCGGGTTGCGCTAAAGGCATGGTGGACATGAAACTCCTTGGAGTGCCAATGGTAGAGATGGGACGGATAAGAAACCCATGGCTGGTTCTCAGTGCGGTGCGGGTAGCGAACATGGTGCAGGTAATGTACTGAAGGAAGAGGTATCAAGAGTTTAAAACAATGGAAGATACCTTTCGGAACGGAGCTACTGAAATTCCATTCAACTCAAAATTGCGTTCAGTTTGTTGGCATCCACAAATTAAATGCCAATGGTCCAGAAGTCAAGACACCAAAGATACCAAGAGGCGCAACCGAAGGGTTGAAGAGACGCTCACGTAATGGCCTCCTTCTCAGCTTTGGTGGAAGGGTGTGGGATGGGTCGCGTCGTGACACCACTGTCATCGCATCGTGTTCTGATTTGCAAACGGGGTCGAATTTTGGGCTGACGGTCCACAAGAATGCAATTTCGGTGGCAGCCTCAACCCTATCTATTCTCATTCCCTAACCCTAAGCCAGCTCTGCCGTGTTGCAAGGTCTTCCACGTTCCACGGATCACCTTCCACTTCTTGAGCTGCTGCAATGGAAAATGGCTTTATTGGTCTTTGACGAGTACGTGCGACGACATGGACGGGTTCCCTTACAACGATGTGCCGGGTCTTTGATGAGTATGTGGGACGACATGGACTACAGGGTTCCTCAATTCGAGTTTTGCTTGACGGTGAAACCATTCAGCCCGACCAGACAGCGGAAGAGCTAGAGTTGGAAGAAGAAGAATTGAATTACAATGATAATCTTCTATTATAAGGGAACGACCAAGTCAGCAACGAGTGCAAAGCACGGTTACCGTACATGCAAGTGCTTTCGACGATGATCAACCCATTCACCTGTGACTGTACAAATAAATATCCCGCTTGTGAATCTCTCGCTGCTTGGAAGATGTCAGTAGTACCAAAGATGCTAGTGCCAACAACACAATCTGGCCGCGACCCTGATGTGGCCCTGGCCCTTGTGGACTTGTGAAGGCTGCTTCAAAGCCAGGGGCTTGAGAGAGAATGGTTACGTGGTAGCCCCTTTCCTTGAATTCTTGAAGAAGAGCATGGCCTTGATCAGCTTGAGGGTATCCTCAGAACACAGTTGTTTGAAGAATGTGGGAGTCGCTCGCGGGAGACGTTTGTTCGTCAAGTCGTAGTCTAGATGCAAAGCATGGATTCGACCATCATTCAATCCACTAAATTGAATCTTCAATCAGGTGGGGTACCGGTAGTCTAACAGGCAGGTATCACGATGGAACGTCGGGGCTACAAGCAGGACTCGTTCTCGACGATAACACGATAACGTGAGACTAATTTACCAGCCAAAACAACTCCCGCGGGTTCATTCTGCCTCCAAGAACTATACAATAGTCTAGAGTATGGTACCATCACGTCTCCGTTTCCGATCCTTTTCAAAGAAACAATAGAGGCGAGTTTGCTCCACCAACTTCATTGACAGGCGTTGCACCATGGAAAGTGGGATATCTGCTCGAGTCACTCTTCATCATTCTCGCCATAACCGGTGGCAAATTTAAAACAGCCAAAACAACTCCCGCGGGTTCATTCTAACTATACAAATAGTCCAGATGTATTGTACCAGTACGTCTCCCTTTCCGATCCTTTTCAAGGAAACAACCGAGCTGAGTTTGTTCCACCACTCTGTTGATGCTTATCAGATCACTGGCCAGCCAGCGGAAGCGGTGGTGGGAAAGGCAACTCCCACGGGTTCACCTGAGGCGTTAGCAACTGCGTTAACTCATCCGAAATGTTTAATCACGGTACGAATGGCGTGCGCAAAAGCCGTTGGTTGGGTCCATTTCGATCCAGGATTTGAAGCATGCCACTTTCTTCATTGGCAGCAACACCATCGGAGGGCTCACAAAGAAGAACAAGGCCGAGAAATGGTGTGCTTCAAAACTCTCTTGGCGCTTGCATCCTTACTGTTGTCTCCAGCTGTGGCAACAGAGCCGGCGACGGAGCCGACGTGTTCCAATAGCGAACCGACGTGTAAAGCCAAGATAACTCCTTCTCCCTGCAGGTAAAATCTTTGCAAGAATGTGTCTTTCGACCGTTGACTGGTGACATATTGTTATAACTAACTAATATATGTGTTCTTCCTTCTTTTCGCTTTTTGCAGTCTTTGGTACGATGGTCAGTTTGTGTTTTTTGGGGGCGACAAGGCAACCAAAGGAGTTATTGTAGGAGGGGCAGGAGACGTGGCCATTCCGTGGAAGAATCATGATCGATGGGCATTTACAGCATGGCACCGATACAGTGTCTTTTATGAAGGCAACGAGAAAGACTCTCATGTCTTTGCACCAGGATTGACTACGCCATTGGAATGCCACGCTCGGTTGGCCAATTTGAATGCCACGGATCCTTCCCTTTACCGACAATCTGCCACCATTGGAACGACTGGTGATGTCAATTATGCTACTGAATCCAGCGAACCTTTGCGAGCCAATCGGGCACTTGTTCGTGGAGACCCTGTTTACACCAATTGCCGACATCCTGATTTATCATCCAAAACATTCTTGGAAGAAATCCCTCACTATGAGCCAGGCTATTTTCGGCAGAAGTGTACTTGTATTGATGTCATTGAGCCAGCTCCCAGCAACATTCCAAATGCTGGAATGGGCGCCTTTTCCAAGTACATTGTGCCCAAGGGCCATCTCGTCACGTTTGCCAGTCTCATTCACATGCGCCAGTCAGAGTTACACAACAAAACATCCGGTGAACATGAATTGCTCCTGAACTACGCATTTGGCCATCCCCAAACACAACTCTTATTTCTGCCTTCTGCCAAGGGCGTCAACTACATCAATCATGCCGCGGAAGGACATGAAGCGAATGTCAAACTCGCGTGGTCCTTGCCTCAAGGGGAATCGATTGACGAGTTTTTCGATGAATTGCCAAGCCATGTCATGTTTTCGCGATCAGAGCAACCAGTACATTATGTCAAGTATGAGGCCTTGAGGGACATTGCTCCCGGTGAAGAGATTCTACTGGACTATGGCAAAGAATGGGAGGAGGCATGGGCCAAGTATGTCGAGGGATGCGGTGGGAATGATCGGGTTGCCTCATGTAAAAGCGAAAAACCATTTCGACACGTAATTGGTGTCCCAGAGGGTTTCTTTCCGCAACCGTGGCTCGATGGGGAAGTCAAAGAAGTGCCTACTAGAATGACTTGGGATACGCCGCCACTGGGAGCTGGAGAAGTCAAACAAGTCCAAGTGTTGGAGACTGGGGAGCAGCCAATGTCCTATGGGCACCGTGTGGGCTTGCCAAAGGACTTTTCCAAAAAAATGCTGGAGTATGCCGATCGCTCCGGTATTACAGACATTATGCGAAAGTATATCACGGAAGGTCAACCCTTGGAACAAAATGGTCAGGAACGAACTCTGATCAATGGTGGGGTTTGGTGGGCCAAGAGGTTTGACTCAGAGTGGCAATCAAATGTAAGTATTGCAATGAGCCTGTGAAAAAATTCATCTCTGCTCTAATGTCGTACTCCTTGAACCAACTAACAGATGCACTACATCACTCCTGATGACGAACGGAGCAACAACGACTTCTTGTCGGCTCTTGGGGAAGCTGGGTTTGACCAAGTCCTGGACGGAATAGGCAAGCACTTTGGCTTGGATGGAATCATTTGCTATTACGCTTCGTTCATCGCCGTATCGCACTGCAGCGGGAGCTACCCACACGTGGATGCGGAAAACTCAAACGGAAAGGCCTTCAACTTGATTTTTCCGGTGCTCCAGGCCAACGAGTCCACACCCGAGTTGATGCTTGGCGAAGATCATTTTGGTCCAACAGTAATCCCTTACCGTTATGAGCCTGAGGCCGGTATCCTTCTGGGCGATGACGGTACGTACGATTTCCAGCGGCCTGGTTGCTCGTTTACAATCACACCTGACCTCACCATCCATACTTGACGCACTCTTAGGTGTTCATCATACTGCGCCATCGGACTACAGAGGCACAGATCAGATGCGTATGGTTATCAGCGTCTATATGGCCGATATCAATGAAGATAACCGATGGCAGGTGTTTTGGGATGAACACATGGATCCCCCCTATCCTCGTGTCCGAACCAGGATGCGATATCTCATGCGGAATGCAGGCAGAGACTGGAAAGCTGGCACAGACAACAAGCTTCCTGTCCGGGATCAGTCGTTTGCCTAACCAAGGAAGAGGAGTGTGCTGGAGGGAAAAGGAGCACCGTACCGGGCACGATGAGCAGCTTGTAAGGGATCTGTCAGCACGATTGTTTCCTGGCGCCTACTATCTTTTCCTTTGACGACTATATACAAGATAAGCATCTAGCGTCGAGAAATAAACCACTTCTTTTGGCTATCGGCGACTATCGGAGCGACTCTTGCTGTTGCCAGGCCCGCCATCCCTCACAGGCAAATAATTCTGAAAGACTTGCTTGCGTTGACCATGGCCAAAGCTGGAATATGGATGAAACACTCACCCGCCAACCTGTCATCGTGGGCCTCCGACCTTATTTCATAGAGGCAACACCCTCGGGCGCTTAGTAGGTCTCTGTTGGTTGCTTCTGTTGCCACCACTCTTGGCCCAGGAATCTGGGTTTTGTTGCAGAAGCCCAAAAAGCAACCCAATTATCACTGCATCTTCTTCAATCAGGATGAGGTTCCCATCATCGTCAAAATACTTTTCCATGTCCCCATCTTCAATAATATCATACTCTGGGTGTTGCAGCAAGCCACTTACAAAGAAATCTTCATTGGGTCGGGCGAGCAATTTGACCAAGCCTGCAACCGAACAATCCCGTGCTTTCTTTCTGCCAAGAGCATTCAGTGCTAACAAGTAATTGATTTCCCTGCACCTTGCATGTCTCTGGGGTGTTCTGTTAGGATAACACAAACGATTGCTCTGTCCGAAGAGGCACAGCCCGAGAGTTGTATTTGTTTGCAACAATTCTGCCAGCCCTGGCTCAAAGCTGGTGATAAATTGCTCATGGTTGTCAGCCCTACCGGTTCTGCACTTCTCTGGTAGCACTTCGAAAATCAGTTCTTCTAAACTGTGATCATCAGGCCTCAAAATGTCCCAAAGCCGGTCGAGGTATACCTCAGGAAACCTCCGCAGTGTCAAAGACCTTAACTGCTTGGACTGTTGAACCAGAGACAGGATATGCTCACAGCAGATATCGGAGTTCAGGTGGCTGTCAAAGGTTGACAATTCCACCATTTCCAGAGTTGGCAATTGTGACAACAAGGTGATCAATGCAAGTAGGCTGTCAGAAGGTATATACCCATACTGGACAGTAAGTCCTTTCAAACTTGCCCCGTTTCGTGCAGCACTTGAGGCTACCGAAGTGAAAGGAAAGTCTCCTTCCAGACTACAGCCAGACAATGTCAGCTTTGTGGCTCCATTTGGAGACAGGAGCAATGATACCAGATCTTGAAATATTCCTGCGAGAAGAAAACCCGAAAGTTCCAAAGAAGCAATTGGAGATCGTCTGTGTTCAATTCCTTTCACTAAATCTTGCAGCATCAAATTATCATAGACTCCGTTCGGTTTCCAGGGGCAGTGCAATTCGAGATGCTCCAGTTGAAGCAAGTTTGCCGCGAGAGAGCACACTGACTGACGCGCATCTTTGGAATCGTTCATCAAGATTGATGGAAGCGATAGTTTGAGAATTCTCAGGTGCGTCCCATTATTGGCAATGGACCTGGTCAGGCTAGGAAAGACTTCACCAACGGGACCTTCGTAATGCCGGGGCAACTCCAGCTCCGTTATGCGAGGCATAACAATGACCAGCGCCTTGACATACCCTTTTGAAACGTTCTTAAGAACGTGAAGGTGGCTAAGACGATGAGAAACGGAGTCTTGAGCATAGTAAGCAACTCTATCGATGATGTCCTTGGAAAGACCATCAAAGCTGCAAATCTGCTGTAGCCGGTCAAAATCATAGGTCACGGGAGCATTGTCAAGTAGATTGGAGAGAAAGCACTTCAAAAAGGGCAGTTCCCCTTCGTCGTAAGGGTTGCGGGAAAGGTTTTCCAGGATGGATTGGACCTCCTGTTCACCCAGACACGAGACGAGCTCTGGGCATTCTTCAATCAAGTACACGAGGACACTGGGTTTTGGTTCACCCGTCGCAGCCAATTCCAAGTTGAAGAAAGTGTCATAATGATGAAGTGTCATTATTGTCGTGGCTTCCAAGGCTTGAGGAGCCAATTCATGTACTTTTTTCACAGCTTCCAAGTTGGCTCCTCGTGATACCAAAATGAACAAGGGGTAGAACCTGGCACCCTCGTAAACATCAGGGTACCATTGAAAAATGCGGAACTTGAAACTTTTTGGCCCGTAGATCCGTAAAGAAGCAAACTCAGGATAGTCCGCCAGCACGTTGGTCATTGTACTGATTACTTCACTGTTTTCTTTGTCCAGTAGAGCAAGGAGGCGCCGCCATCCCTTGAGCTTGGCAATCGGCATTTCATCAGTGTCGCTTTCCTCATCGCTGCTGGTACTCGTGAGGCTTTCATCGTCGCTCATTGTTGCTATGTGTCATGTGTCAATGGTCAATGGTTTTTAATGGTTTGCTTATGTTCTGGCTGGCTGGATCCAGTGTTCTGTGCATAAAAGATGTACCTTAGCGCATTCACCACCACCAACTACAAACAGCTTGGGGCTGGCTTATACAACCATTTATTGATGGAGCACATGTGCGACCCAACTTCAAAGAGCCGTTGATGACAATGACTTCACCACCCCACAACGTTCTCTCGCACTTCTTTCCATTTCTTCTTTGGTGCAAGAGAAGGCCAATCAGGAAGGAGGAGCCTGTTGTTGAAAGTATAAGGACTGCCTCTCTCTCTCAGCACATTATTCTGAGAGTGTCATTATCTGCATCGATTCGACAGCCAGCAGGAGTACGAAAGAGAGAAGAGGGTGATCGGCTTATCACCTACTTCATTCACGGGAATCAATCAACCCAGCACTAGCTAGTACACGACAAAACAATCCGCAAAAGCACACAAGAGGGTATTCAGTCCCACCAGATTGATTATTTCTCTGCCAAGTTGTTTCCTCTCTGGCGTGGAGACGAAACCAACATTAGCTGAATGCCGTCTCCGGCAAACGCACAACCCATGCATCAACGCAAAAACGGCAAAGGCATGTACGCTCATCGAGGAGGCCATGGTGGCGACATTGAGAGTCGAGGCGGCGGCCGTAGCGCCCGTGAAACCAATGCTGGTATCATGGAGCAGCAAAACAACGAACGAATCTCGGAGCTCAGCGAACAAGTGGCCCGTCTAAAAGGATTGACAATTGACATTGGCAATGAAGTGCGAGAGCAAAACTCCTTGTTGGATAGCATGCAAGATGGATTCGTGTCAACCCAAGATATGCTACAGGGCTCTCTTCGGCGCATTGGGACAATGCTAGAATCTGGAGGGGCGAAGCACATGTTGATGATGGTGGGCTTCTCCGTGTTTGTCATGTGCTTTTTGTGGTGGCTCATGGGTCACAGAGGACAACACGGTGTGTAGTTTTAGTGGAGGTTTGAATGAATTTAAGAAACATCAGAATGGACGGGAGGAATGACAGTACAAAAAAGAGGCAGAAATGCTGACAAAATTGATATTCCCCACAACGGAAGTCGCAATCCAAATTTAATATACATGTATGTTCTTCATGTCGACAATACCGGTAGACTCAAGTTCTAGCATTTAGAAAGAATTAGATGCATGTGTGCGAGTCCATCACAGTTTATTTATACCATCATTAGCCTCTTATCCATCGCCAGAGCTTTTGCCAAGCGGTGGCGTTGGTTTGAAACTCGACTTCGTCTACTATATCTCGTCGCTTCTCTCGGATCAGGGTATCCGACCACATGCCGTACGATCCCTTGGCCGCTTCGTACTCCAGCTTGCCCAGTCGATCTAGATATTTCACGTCCTTTCGTATAGTGTCGAGTCCCTGGGTCGCATCCACAATTTTGGTGCCTTCTGTGTGAAGAGATTTCATAAACATTTCGCTTTCCGCCGTTGCGTGTCCGTACCGCACCAAGGGAGTCGCCAAGTCGGTCGCAAATAGCTGAAACAGAGACGGTCTATAGTACAAACGACCCACTGCAATTTGTTGCTCTTGTTGTTCCTCTGCTCCTTGTTGTAGGTTGTCTTTTTGCAGTGATTGCTCCAACTCCGGCAAGATGACCGTGACATCTCGTTTGTTTCTGTGATTTGGCTCCATAGTATTGTTGTGAGCATTACCAGTACCAGTGGAGGGAGAATTAGGGACCCTTCTCCCAAGCAGTTGGAGAGTCACCTTGGTCTTGTCACTGGCCAATCTCTGAAGCCACTCTCCACGTTGATAATCAGTGGATGCATAGAATGGAGGAGCCGATAACCCAGCTGCAATGTTGTGGTGGTTTGGCAGAAGAATTATTATTTGTTAGTATCGTATCCTTGGTGGGAGAATGAATGATTGAATCGATCTGCACCTCAATCAGTTCTGCTAGAAAAACTAGCATTGGTGCGTACCTATTTCTACTTTGATCAAATCACCCTCTGGGTTGCCTGTGACCTGAGCCGACGGGGCTGCTCTGGTTCCAAATTCGTACATTTCTCTGTTGAGCACCCGCCCAACTGGAGATAGGTGCCTGACATAGCATATAATGGGTTGCCCCGCCTGATCGTTTTCTTCTGTCCTGATGAGCCTGGCTCTCAAGCGTTTTCTACCCACAAATAGTCGAGCTGTTGAATTTTTAATATCCAAACAGAGGCTGGGTTGAGAAAAAAATGATTAAAAAAATGATACCAAAGCATTCTACGAACCAGAAGTTCACCAAGTTTCTTTTTCGATGCATCAATTACTTCTCTTGTTTCCTTTCCATCGTGCTTGATTCTCGCTTACCTGGAATGTCGGCGACACTTTTGTAGCGAAAGAACAGTGGTGTATTGGAGAGGCCGTAGGCAGCAAGCAGCGTGACAGTGGCCACGGTACCATATCTTGCTGCCACCAAGTTATTATTGATAGCATCTGAGAAAGCATTCATGCCTTGTCCCACGGCATTTCTCACCGTCGTCTCTGTGGAGGGTACCTTGCTCATTTTTTCGATTTCGTGTTGGGTATCCTGATTGGCAGAAGTGGATTGTTGCTTTCCATTTTGGCGGGTTGTTCCTCCTCCATCATCATCCTGGTTCATTTTCCGTTTGGACTCTTTTGTGCTCTCCACTAGCTAGCTTGGGTGGGCAAGCAACTGAATAATCAGACCTCCAGAGGGCTCTTCCAACCGTACAGTAGTAACAAATTCGTCTTCCTGCCATGTTATTGCTGTCGTTGGTTGGGCGTCTTCTCTTTGCCTCTTCGAAGCTCGGTTCTCTTTTGGATCGCGAGCTAATCACGGTTCAACCTGGAATGAACTTGGCGCGTCATCAGGGACTCAAGTTCTTGGCACCTTGCAGCTGCCAAGTCCACTCAGACGTAAGAGATGGGGTAAATACTTTGTTGTTAAAATTGAAGCACAAAATACTAAATTTACTTTATCCCCCTTTATCCACTCCAGCCGGCATCGTTCTTCAGGAACTGCTTCACAATTTCTGATGCGCATCATGCGATCCACTTTGCCCTTGCCCTCTGCATTCTTCTTCCAAACATCAAGAAACAAACAAAAAGACAGAGCAGCAAAACAGAGCAGCTGATACCGTAAAGCGACGCGTCATACTATACTATACTCCTCTGCTTGTTCTCTGCTTGTTCGTTGCTGGACTTCTCGTTGCTCCATCCAGCTCAGAAGAAGAGAAGACGAAAGGAAAGCATACAGTTCTCATAAACAAAATCAGGAAGTGAAGAGAAAGCGTATCATCAACCAAAAGAAAAAGAAACTCCACTTGATTTACCATGATGATGACAACCATGATGAAGATCAAGATTGCGCTACTATCGTGTCTGTCCATTCATTTTGGTAGCGCCTTTCAAGCCCCGTTTCCACAGCATGGAACAAAAACCACCATGAGAACCCCGAGAACTCCAACGGTTCTCTACTACAACGACGACAACCACAGCAGCAACAACAACAACGACGATGACTTTGACCTGAGCACCTTGGAACGACGCATTGGAAATCTTCGCTTACAAATTCTAGAAGAAGATCTGCAACGACCCCCCAACGCCAGTTTGGGTCCCAAGGAATTCGTCACGGCACTCTTGCAGGGCATTTTTCACAATGAAGATCCTCGCCCCGATGCGGGATTTATGCTCCTCTTGCGATGTTCCACGGAACAATGGGCCAGCAAGTGTCTTCAATCCATTGGAGCGCCCAAAGACTATGACAATCTCGATACGGCCGCGTCGGCACTGGGAGCCGCCATTGGACGACCACACAATCAATATGCCATTCTTGTAGGGGAAGGCGAGGAAGAAGACGATTACGTCTTGGAGGATGTCAATAACAGCATTCCTCAAGATCACACATTTTACATTGACTTTCCAGGAGAAACTCTGGATTTCTTGGATGGAACGGCGTGGGTCAATGTCGAATTCCGTGACGCCAGTAGCGATGACTTGTTGGTGCTCATGGGATGGCAACTGTGTCAACGACCCGATGGGGCATGGCTGGTCGATCAAATTGATTGGCAAGATTACAGAGAAAAGTACCGCCCTGGAATTGGTCGATCCGAATGGATGGGAACCTACGAGGGAAGAAGAAGGTGAGACTCGACTAGGAAGCTCTCTCGTGGTGAGTAATCGAATCGACGTTTGACTTGACAACAAGGAATGAATGTTATGAGGCAGTCAGAGGAATCGAATCTCTTCTGTGCCGTGCCGTGCCTTTGATTGTGGTTTCGTATACGTTTACAATGTACGGATGTGAGTGACCTAGCAACTTGGATGTAAAACAATGATAGACAGTTCAACTATAAGCTTGGCCCTATTCCGGTAGTAGAGAGAGAAGTGGGATTTGCAGGTTCCCCAAATGTTTCATTGGTCAGGCCAAGAGCGGAAAGAAAAGTCTTGGTTACATGGTTGGAAGAACTGACCACTGTTTGGATGGTAGTCTACTACATGTCCTCCAGTTATACACAACACACCCTAAGTTGCCATTGGGAGGTTGCTGACGCAAATTAATCCATGCTGCCAGAACCGTGACTCTCAAGAGTCTTCCTCGGCTCCCAGCCACCGCCTCAGCTGTCCGCAATCTGGTTGGCATGGGCAGTTCACTAGGACTATTTAGGTACGACCAAATACACCTAGAGTATGTAGTGTCGAAACGATAGTGCTAGCAGTGGGGAACAACGGTGATATCCAGTGCACCAGTGCACCAATCCAAAACCGTTGGAACCCAACATTGAACTGAGAAGCCCCTAAAAAAAAAGGACATCATTGTCCTCTTCCTTTGGTGGCTGCTCCGAGCAATGAGTGGCTCCTAGCACTATCTGCAGTGGCAGCCAGTCCAATTGGAGCATGTGTGCTACCACATTGCTCTGCTTAGAGTCATGGCTACAGGAGTCTTCCTCGACTCCCAGCCACCGCCTCAGCTGTCCGCAATCTGGTTGGCATGGGCAGTTCACTAGCTAGGACTATTTAGGTAAAAAAAGGACATCATTGTCCTCTTCCTTTGGTGGCTGCTCAGAGCAATGAGTGGCTCCTAGCTAGCTACCAGCCAGAAGACTGGTTCCATTGCTCAAGACAGGTTCCATCCTGGGTGGTCCCTGGAATACCACGGAACAGTTCTTTTTGGCTTCTTGGCATGGAAAATGTCACTGAATCAATCCTGCCGGACGCCCGTGAAAGGAGAGTGCATGAAACAAGGTCAAGTCCAAAACAAGCCACCAAACATCATTTTTCTTGTCACACCTCCCTCCTCTAAAGTAGATGTACTTTGTCATTCTCATGGTAACATTCAGAAGGTACTCCTCTATAACTACTTTGTCAATATTGGCATGCCCGTCGCAGCGGTATTATCTAGAAGTCTATTTGGTTGCTGTGTATTTACTCAGCGGCTAATAAACTGGAGGAGTCCATTATCTCGTCTTTTTGGGACCTTCCTCCATCAGTGGTGGTTGTGGAAGCCATTTCATGGGCCCAAAACCAACTGTGCATCCCTCAGTGTCACTACCAATGGGTACAAGGAAGTGTTCCGTGTAATAAAGCACTTCCTGCAGTGGTACAGAGGATTCATCAACGGCAAAATATCTGAGAAAAGCGAATGTTTCCATCAAAGGAGTAGCCAGTCAACAACAAGACGATCGCTCGATCCAACTGCGATTGCTACCACTACGGAGACAACAACAACGACAAACCGTTAATGCTACTACTACCACTCACTCTAATATACCACTACAACGGTCGTCGACACGATATCGGCGACAGCATCCTGTCGGCACTCGGAGAGAGTTCCAATGTTGATTGTTGATCCACAGATCCACACTTCTATCGATATTAAAACAAAATTGTCCACTAGCTAGCATTATGTGACCACTAAAAGAAAATTTAGCTAGCAGTACAATCCCTTGTGGTTACCAACTAGCTAGCTAGTAGAGTACATGATAGTTTGACAACATGGTTGATGAGTGTCGCCTCCCTCAAAGGAAACATGATGAATACGACAGCAGAATGCAGGGATGCAAAATGTGGAGGGACTCAGGTCAAAGATTTAGAGTGGAAGTTGAAGAAGACTTAGATTATACTTATTATCTTAAAGATGAGAATACTCTGGTTCCGTAACCGGTCCTGAGACTGGTAGCTACAGTGGGAGCCAGTCCAATTGGAGCATGTGTGCTACCACATTGCTCCGCTTAGAGTCATGGCTACAGAGCTTGCTTCCGGCACCGTACCGGTACCGGTTGCTACAGCCCTATCTCCCATCTTCACAGCCTGCTCTCTTCGGCTAGCTAGTAGAATTGGGATTCGATTCCGCCTCTCTGGCTATCGTAGCGTAGCTAGCTGATGGATTGATTGTGCTTACTACGATGTACCAGTACTCCAGTTTGGCCTGCACGAAACACAACTCAGCCTTCATCTGTGAGCTGCTATAGGCTTGTCATAATGCAACTCATACCATACACAAGCAAGAGTGATGCATATGGCTTTATCGCGAACAATCAAGTGTTCAATAGGACCAGGGTACCGAATCCTCTACGCTGTACAGAGCCCTCGTCTGATTTCCGTTTCATCTCTCCCTTTCTTTTTCCTGTGTACAGTCGTACCGTAGACCAAAAACTTAATAAAGAATATCCTCCTCAAACTGGTAGTAGACCCAGAGCCATCAAAACTTTATGCATATTTATACCTATGCATAGCTAGTAGTACCGGTACGGTATCACTGGACTCTTCTCCACAGCAGCAAGAACAGTGCCGTACTGTATGTCTTGTGTCTCCAGGACCAGCATTGGGGAGGGCTTCCCCACACCCCTCGTTCATGATAAAGATCAACTGTGCGATATGCGGGAATTAACAACTCGAGACTTTGGATGACGTAACACTTTCGGTGCGTATCTTTTCTACGTACGTTTCCCGTGGGCAAAGTTGAACTTTTTCACGAGAAGCCATGGCGCTCCACAACTTCGAATACAAAACATCCATCTTCTTCCTTTTTGGTTAGCTAGCTAGTATACAATGACATCGTTCCGAAGCACCCTTTTGCTCCTTGTTGCCACCATCGCAGCAAGTTCTGCCTTTGTTGTTCCCTCTGCCGGCCGAGCTAACACCAAGTTGGCCGAGAGTTTTGGATTCGATTTTGCCGAGGATACCTACGAGAACCAACCAGACTTCTTGAAGGGAGAGGGAGAATACAAGACATGGGTCGGACAGACAACAGACAACAGTTTCATCAACAGACAGGTTAGTTGAGTGAGGGACGAGCTGCAAATTTTAATGCTGTTGCCGTGCTCTGAAAAGGGTTCTCACGTGTGACCTCGCTTCTTTTCTTGCCGTTATCATTATTTATTTCCATAATAGTACAATGTCATCCGTCGTGTCCGAGAAATGAACTTGTTGAAGACCACCGCTGATGCCGGAATCCTCTCCAAATTGGAAGGCCAAGGACTTGACCTTGTCACAATTGAAAAGTTGCTTCCCGTCATTGAGGACACCGGAGCCTTGAGCATTGCCGGAAACAACCAACAACTTTTGGTCAACCTCGTCGCACCCCTTTTGGTCGAGCCTGCTCCTCTTCTTCTGCCTGTTGTTGCCGGAGCTGTCGAGACTGGACCCAGTGCATTCTACCTTGCTTCCGCCGTCTGCCTTGGACTCGATGCTGCACTCTTCGCCACTGGTGCCGAACTTCCATTCGTTGGTCTGTCTGCCGGTGTCTTCCTTGGACTCTTGTTGGTTCCTTTGGCTGGAGCATCCGGAGTTGCTGGATACGCCCTTGGAAGCCTTAAGAAATAAGCATACTGCATCAGTGTCTTATTTTTTGGCTGTAAATAAAGGATAAGAAGTCTTAGTTTTGCACAATGAGAGATTGGTCCTCTCGTATTCCTTCAAGTGCGGTGCTGCTGCTGAAGCTCGGAAGGACCTTGCTTGGAGTTGATCGCAATTAGTTAATTTCTTGCCCTTCGCCCCTTCGCCTCGTGGCAGTAACCGTACCGGGTTGAGATTGTGGCGTATTTGATCCAAAGAGGTGGAGGAGCGATGCCACACTGGGAGACAAAAGAATCGTTACCGTTGTGCCGTCTCTCCTTGAGAACTTTTTACGGGCTATTCCCTGCCCTCAGGCTCTCGTTCTGGACCAAGCTGTTTGTTGCCTGCAGTCAATGCCTGCACCTGATTACGAGGTACCAGTACATGTATTCACTGCAAACCGAGGGGGTGGCAGTCAGGCATCGAGCATAACTGGTACCTGGTAGTTTCGGCTGCAGTGAGGGGCGACATGCACCGGTCCTCGAGCTCGAAGTGACCCAGCATAAACAATGCCTTGGCGCGACATTTGAAAGTATTGGCCGGTATACGGTAAGATCCCGCGTGGCGGAGAAGAGGTAGCCTGTTTTCTGACTGTCTGACGGAGCGCAGTAACAACACGACCAAAATGGCACATGGTACCGGTATGGTACGCGTTTTGCGATCACTTGTAGGGGCCGCATACCGCCGTGGCCAGGGCTGCATAGAGGTACTGTGAGGGAGAAATGCAGAGATGCAACTCAGCTAGCTGGTCAGGGCTACATGGGGGTACCGTTACTGCAAGGGAGAAATGCAGACATGCAACTCCTCCGCTAGTCAGACAGCAAGTAACCGCTTCGCCGTGGGTGCCTTGAGTGATATGTCATCTTCTTGCTGGGCAGGTCGAGGTGAGGTCCTTCGAGCTATGGCAGTACATGTAGTTGTAAGCACTGATAGCTAGCTAGGACTAAAACCTGGAGCTACCTTTTGCGAGGATGTTTCTCGTTTTAGCCCAATGTGACCCTGTCGCTGCTCTGTGGGGGTTGAGGTGGCCAACTGTCCACTCCAAAAAGTTGATGCATTCAACTTTCTCACCGCGAGAAGGAAAATGGTTGTCGAAAGATAGTACGTACTACAGCAACTCATCATCTGTGAAGTAGATGCAGATCATTCGTATGGGAAATGCCAATGTACTCGGCGGTAGGCCTCTATCATGTCTCATCTACATGATGTTTCCTTGCGCTCAGTGACAATCCCCGGGAAAGAAAATCGCAAATACACAGCATTGGTGGGACTTCGGGCCACCCGCCTTGTGACCTCACTGAAACCTCATTAGCTATGCACAACGTTCATGCACGGATAACACTCGTCGCCCAATTCCATTTGCCTTGCTGGCAAACATATCATTGTACTCGAGCACCGTGCCTGATGCATGCAGAGATGAAAGGCGTCATCAAGGTGCACAGTAGCCACCAAATTTTGGTGCCGGCCGTTGCACCCGTGCTATCTATCCGTGCAACACTTGATCAAACAGATGGCACATGCAACCGCAAGCTGGTAGCTATACTACCGTATGGATCGATCCCGTTGTCGCAAAATGGTTGTGATGTTATAAATTTAGACTATTACTTCCAGCCGAGTGCGCAACGGAAAGTATCTATGAGATAAAGAGAAAAATACAATTGCCTAGTCTATACCGTAGGCTTAGGCTTGACAGTCATCTCCGCGTATTCCATCATGCTATTTGTGGTCTTGTTTGTCCGTACTCGTCGGCTTCCCGGCGTTTCCCCTTCGATGCCAATGCTCTTCGTGGGCCAAAGTAACCCCCTGAAGGCTTAATGTTTTGGGCCAAGAACTCCGATAGTCGATCTACAAACATAGGTCGAACTTCTGCATGGACATTGTTGTGGCCCATACCATCAATAAATAGTGGTTTTGCTTGGCATGTTGGCGGCAGGGCAGCAAAGAGTCGCTCTGAGTGATGAAAGGGGACAATTTGGTCACTTCTTCCATGCACTAATATAACGGGTGATCCAATCATAGGAGCAAAGTCAATGTTTGGGAACTTGTCCCCGTAGACTGTACAACCAGTGTCTATCACCACTCTGTATACCGATAGAAAGGGTGCATGTAGGATCACGCCTCCTACTGGACCATCATCGTCCACTCCCTTTACGCTGGCAGTCTTGGAAGCCAAGTAGCAGGATGGACCTGATCCCAGTGATCGACCATAGAGGACAATGTTTTGTGCTGGCACGCCAAGCTCATTTCGAAGATAGTCGTAGGCAGCATCAATATCGGCATAGCAATGGTTCTCTGATGGGTCGCCTGTAGAGATTGGAAGAGGCGAGGTTAGATCCAACCATCAACATCCATCACTGCACACATCTTCGTCAGTGACACTTACCTTCATCGTAGGCCATGCCGTAGCCAGTGTAGTCATAAGCAAAGAGATTGACTTGCAGCATCTTGCTCAGGAACTTGCACCATGGGTATATACTTCCCAAGTCTTCGGCATTCGCATGCGAATAGAGGATTGTTATACCTTGATCCGGCCCTGACGCTCGTATCTCACTAGCTGATAGCGACTTGCAACTCTCCACCCCTCCTTTCCGTCTGTAACCAATGTAGAAGGACGGAATCTTCGACCCCAGTTTCGTGTTCAGCCATACGATCTTGTGCTCCTTCAGCTTGGAAGGCGGTGGGGGTTGGAAGAGTAGAGTACTCACTGCGTCCCCCATCGTGGATGACTATTTGTGATGATTGAGCGAGTTGTGTGTTTCTGTTTGTCCTGTCGTTTGATATGACAGTACTGTAGATTGCAGCTATGATATCTGTATAAGATCTCCACGCTCCTTTCAGCTTGACCAAGGCGCCTAATGCGGTGTGACAGTGAACTATTCCGAATGATGGGAACTCGCCCAAAGTTGTGTGATGGCTGCCGAGAAGGATGCTGAGGACAACTCCGCCTACAGAGGAAGAAGCTGATTGCTGATTGCTTTTTATAAGGACAGAACACGCCGATCAATCAAATCATACAAGAAGTGACAACTAACAAACCACAACAGGTTGTTGCCGTTTCGATGACAACTACAGACAGCGAAGAGTTGCCACCGTGAAGAGATGAGACCAACGAGGAGAGCTCCAGCGTACAATCTGTAGGAAAAAACCGTTGGGCCTGGAATTTTCTCTGGCAAGGGTTCAAACTCTTAGCGTTGGGAGCGGTCTTGCGCTCGGGCCTCGGGACTTTTTAGGGGCCTAACGCTCTTTTCAAATTACTTAGAGAAAAGTCCCGCTTCCAAGCATTTTTTCAGTGTCACACCAAAAGGGGGTGGCGACGGCTGATGTCAAGAAAATTCCCCCAAAACAAAGAGTTGTCTTGGCACTACAGTAACGGCAGGACTTGGCCTTCCAGCTCCCGCCAATTTTTCGGCTGAGCACACTCAAAGCAGCACCCACGGCTTCAGGGGCAAGTTGGGGTTGGGTTGACGGCGCACTGCCAAAAGGCTTCGTTGAGCCTCGCTAGCTAGGTAAGCCTTTGCAACTGGAACACTGGAACAGGCTGGATGGTGCAGATGCTGGCAGCAGGTATCAAGCGAAAGGTTCCGCCTTCTTCCCGAGGAAGCTCTTCCCTTGTCCTCGCCCAGGCCAAAACAGTAAAACCTATCGGAGGATCCGTCCCTCTCCTGCTAAACTTTGCTACAGTACCTATAATCTAGCTAGCTACCGGTACCCATGATAAAGCTCTAGCTACTTGGATCCTACAAGTTTACTACCAGTACCAATGCTAAATTTAGTTGATGGGCCAACGAAGGCATCAGCTTTGCTTGTTCTGACAGTCACACATCAAACCGAGACATTCTCGTGTCATCCCTTCTTTGGAGTTTTTAAGAGAAGCCTATCTCCATAGAAAAGTTTGGTTATTACGTTTGTCAACCCGTTGGAATGAACAATCAATGCCTCGTCTAAACAATCTCCAACAGGTGGCAGAATAGCCGGCAGACAACAGGCTCAAGTCCCGGACCAGCAGAAGAGAAGGCAACCCAAGTCCCGGTAGAACTGCTATTGTGTGCTTTGGATAATCCACTCCCGAGCTTCCATCCGCAAGCAAGATGAGCACGTGTTGACCGGCACTGTAGGGGGGGAAGTAGGACCAAACTTCACAACCTCAATAGATCTCAAGTCTCTGAGCTGGACTGGTAGCAGGCAAGATCTAGTTGCCGGCTCTAGAGTGCTGGTAAGCCCCGGGATCTTCTTGCATCCTCAAAGGAGATGGCAAGGATATGGGAAAGAACCGGCAGCGCCCCTTCTCCCACTCATTCTCCCCCAATGTTTATTGAGAGACTGCCACAAGAAGCCTAGATCCTACTGTAGCTGGCTGAGGTGGTACCGGTATCTTTTATGCAGACGGTAGGCACATTCATTCACAGGGGAAGCTGAGCATGCTGAGCCGGAGCCCAGGTGGACGGTGGACGACGACGACGACGAAACGACGACGTGCCAATGCCACGGTCGTTCAAGGCACAGCAGCCCAGCACAAGACATGCTCGGCTGCGACTGGGACGAGAGACGGGAAAGGACGATCAAAGATTTATTCGTGCACCAGAACTACTGTATTGTCAAAAAGACATGCACTCACTATGTAGTCAAAATTACACAAAATCAAAGGTTGTCGTCGCTATCTATCTTGTAGCAAGCTGGCTTCGGCTCTATTCCCTCATGTCATCCAAAACTGTGTACCTGGTATGTCAAACTCCTTTCAATCCACGTAAACGTTGATTGCTTTCGTGTGATTGCTTCCTAGCTCAATGTCTGCCAAACCTCGACCCTCTCGTAGAGCGCGGGGCGAATCGAGAGAAACCGGTGTCCCGTTTTGTGAGTCTTCTTTTCCTGCAACACGAGTTTCTCCATTCCATCAGAGCTGCGACTTCCGTCGTCTTCCAAGCATCCTCCTTCTGAGGAGCTATCGCAGGATCGTAGTTCCTGCAAGTAGATTGTTTCGGAGGAGGTTGTGTGCAGTTGGATAAGCGGTTCACAGCATCCCACCAATGCTTTGGGATAAATGTCAAAGCTGCCGTGGCATTTGATGGTGACACTGCCGAGTCTGACCTGTATTTCAATCGATCCGACCCTAGAGGCACGGACATGATGAGGTAGCACTTTAGCAGGAACGACTTCGACGTCCTCGTCTCCAAAAAGGTCGCGACTGTACGCAAGAAAACCAAGAAGGGAAGTGAGAGTCGTGTTCACCTCAAGGACATGCCAATGGATTGCCACCATATTTAATTGATTACTCACACAATAAAGTAAGCATCGCCACCAGTGCCCGTCCGAGAGGCGGCAATCAAGAGTCGTCTCGTGAGCAGATCGACCGTGGACAAATGAAAGGATGCTCGACGATTCTTGAACTTGTTGTTGTTATTGTCGGGTTCAATCGAGATAAAGGAAGGACGATCCTCGAAGCATCCAGCATCTTCGGAGGGTTCTGCTTCCTCCTCTTCCTCTTCGTAATCGATTGCCTTGGAAGTCTGTTTCTTGGTATGAGTATTGCTGGGTGGTGTTGCCGTCAAGGTCCTCGAATTGAGTGACTGCGACAAGAGACTAATTAAATCTTTGCGACTCGTGACGGGTGGCAAGACATGTCCATTAATGGTGATGATTTCTCGCTGCAGATCCATAATGGCTTGACGTACGGCATCTGGATTGTTACAGAGCGAGTCATTGGCATGCGAGGGTGCCAATTCGATATTCTGCAAATCGTTTCGAAATCCCTGACAGACTTCTAGTAAGTGTCCAATGGAGAGGAATTCGACCGTCTTGAGATAGCGTCTCATGTTTCCATCCAAGCTGGACGCCAACATGCGTTCCAATTCACATCCTGCCTCGTGGACTTTCCACTCGGATTGCAGATACCGAATGTAGTTGGTGACCATGGGAGTGAGGCGCGTTTCGGCGGATGCTTCGGGCGAAGACAAAAAGGCCAAGGAGGCAAAGGAAGTCGAGTGTTCGTACTCGTTGACAATGCGTCGAATGACACGATGCAAGTCTTCTCCTACAAACTCGACCGCCAGCAATTCTTTGGTGAGCGTCACTAGTAGTGTGGTGAGGACTGGACTGAGGGATTGCACGCATCCAATGGTGGAGACAAAGGAGGATACAATCATTCCCGCGCGAGCTCGAATGGCTCGATCGGGTTCGACCGACAAGACACATTCCCGTTCCAACGATCGGACGCGATAGAGAGTGCGAATGTACAACTCGAGTCGAATGAGGAGACCATGTTCTCGAATTTGAGGTTGCGGCTTTTTGCGAAGACTGTTGGAATCGACGCCGCTGGATACGGATCGTAGCAGTGCCTGGCCGTGATGATTGAGGGATGTCAGTACAGGAGATGAAATTTCTTTAGGTGGTTGTTGTTGTGGTTGTTCCTCATTGTTGTTGTGATTGGAAGAAGCGGATGATACGGAGGAACTGGGAGAAGTTGCTCTCGTTGGAGCGTGGGAAGATGATCGTTCCACGTCGGAAGGGACAGAGATTTCCACGCTTTTCAAGAAGGCTTCCATGCGAGCCTTGTCCCTTCTTGCCAGGGAATCGTAGACATCTCGACTTTCCTTGTGATCCATGGAGAGGTGCCAGGAAGACTGGTCTAGCAGCTTGTTGTTGTTGTTGCTGTTGCTGCCATCCATACATTTCTTTTCTTCTTGGCTTGCACTGATGCTACCGGTAGAACAAGGCACCTCGGCGTTATCGAGGCCAAGCAAGACACCCCTGGTCAAGGAGAGCACTGGTCTTCGCAGGTACTTGTCCACATTGGAAGCGTGAGGGTTGTGGGGATCTTGATGCTGGAAATACCAGCTCACCACTTCTTGAGCGATTCCTCGGGCATTCATCGTCACAGTTAAACTTGGGTTTTCAAACAATCTTCTCTCTTTCTTGAAAGTCAAAAAAGAAAGTTCAGGTAATGAACAGATCGGCAACACAATGGATAATAGCTCTTATTAGCTTGTAGATGGATGGATATCGCGACTCCCAACAAGCAAACAAACGGAGTCTCTTGGGCTACCCAGGGATGATGACAAGCAAGCAGCAGGTTTGCGGAAGAAGAAAATGAGAAGCGAGCTGAGGCAGGTTTGCGGAAGAAAATGGGAAGAAAGAATGGCAGTTGACATGGGAATTTGGTTGTCAACCAAAGCAGTCACGTGAGAGCTCGTGAAATCTGTCCTGGGATCGCCGAAAAAGAAGTACACTCCTCACTCATACTTAAGATAAGTGGGTTTAAGATACCAAGTACCGGTACCATCCAACAGCTCAACTTTTTAGAAATAAATGTTAGGATGGTCTACTAGCTAGCTAGCCTTACACACTCAGATTTCCCAGACCAGTAAGATAAGCTACGAGTATCAATGTCTCAAATCCTAAGCTAATACTACTACTATGTGGGGAGTGAGGGCAGCTAGTACCCACTACCTTCCAAATCACCATCTGCATCCAAGTCCTCCATATCCCCATCTTGGGGTGCCTCCTCTATTAATACCACAACATCTTTGGTTTCATCGATTTTGGCTTTGCACCTTTGCCTTATTGGGCAAAGGGTGGTGGCTCCTCACTGTCTGAGGGAATGGTTAGTAGTATGGTAGGGGTATGTGGCAATAGCTGCTAGTGGCAATAAGATATGAAAGATACTGAGATTGGGCTGCTTGTAAGATAATGACTCGACTCAGTGTGGCTATTGATGATTCTATAAGATTCCTCTAGTCTTGGACTCTGAATAAAGTTATCTTATAAATGAGGTAGATATAAGTGTAAGTGATGACGTGGCAGAAGTCATTCCCAATTGTTGAAAAGGAGATTAGGTAAATTTTGAAACATAAAATCATTAATTATTCAAGTATTTTACCGCAGATACCTTTATTCATTCAAGCAGTAGTCACCTCGTCGACGGTTAAATTCACGCGCCTTGTTCCGGAAAAAGACATTTGTTCTTTCTGCCGGCTTACTGAAGATTTGGATTTTGATATCCAGTTCATCACCAACCAAGAAGGGTATCTTTGATCCTGGTTGCCATCAAACCTCAAACCTCTCGACATTCATTTATTGCTGTCTTTGCTGATGGCCTCATCGTTTGAAGATGGCCCTCCGGTTGCTTTGGGGTATTCCGTCCTGGCATTTGTCCAAGTGATTCCAATTCTGACAGATAATAGTGATGCAGACAGAGGAACAGCACAAGTGGCCTTGTCATCGCCGTTTGTCAAAATCAAGCTGCAACGGCTATCGAGGAGGCGCAAGTTGGGGATAAAATGGGATTCTACGACAGAAGATGGGGAAGGGTCGACAGAATCCAAGGACCAGAAAACACAAATTCGAGAATCAGTGACTGCGAATCGACTGAAACGAGGTTTTCTATACTCGACCCAACGACAATCCATGCAAGGTCAATTGGATGATCGGCCTACCCTGTCATTTCCTTCTGAAGATCCTCTGGTATTGCAGCCCATTCCGTGCCTTGTCATTGCCCACGCTGTGATGGAAGGAATGAAGTTTCAAGGACGAAATGCAGTGGCAGTGATACTTGATGGGACGCTAGTAAGGGTCTTGCCCGCCATACCAGCTAGTTCTATTGGTCGCAATCCCTCCAGTTCGTCCTTACTGGAAAAACTCGTGGGAGAAGCTGCGTACTCTCCTCTCTCAAAGGAACTGTGCCTGGAAATGGAACATAATAATGACCCACAAACCATCCAAGAACTGCAATTGCGCATGTTACTGTTACTCGCAGAGCCAATTCACATTGGGACCACAGCGGATGCACTGTCGCAACTCGAGCAACAGAGCAAACGACAGCATGCCTTGGCATCTGCGATTCGAACGTATTCTCAGCAAAAACGACATGGTCCTGGTACTAATATTGATGGAGGATATAATGTCCATCGCACGACAACTAAAAAACAATCAGCAACAGATCAACAGGAACAACTCCCATCCATTCTGAGAGATGGCGCCTTGTTGGTACACAGCCCTGACCATGCAGCAGGAAAGACTACCCTCGTCAGGTACATTGCTCAAGAATGCTTGAAATGCAATGTGGTTCATGTCATTCAACCAGCCGCCCTGCTGGCCAAGTACGGATCGCAAGCCGATGCTGGACTTGAATCCACAATGCATGCCATTGTCACAACTGCCGCTGTCGCAAAACAGGCTACAATCTGTATTATTCTGGATCACTTCCAGGCCATGATGCCACCGGCACTATCATTGACTTCTGGGGCGGGAGATGCTGCTGTTCCTGTGTTGCATGCAATGGCGGCACAACTCAAATCCTTGATCTTGTCGATCCAACGCAGTCGACAGTTTCCGTTTCCAACCAAGAATTCGCTCTACAATGTTGCAGGAAAGGGTGGATTTGTGTTTTCGGTACGACTCTGTTTGGTGGCCATTGTCACGTGTCCCGATAATGGATGGCGGTCGGCTGGGGTGACAGGTACTAGTAGCACGGGAATTCTCAATGCCCTGCCTATGGGGACCTATCGTCTCCCAGCCTTGAATGCGGCAACTCGAATAAGGGCATTTGAAAGAGCGTTGGAACGAGAACGAATCGAGCTGGCGGACAACGATGCTAGGCAGCAAGTTCAAACTCTGGCCGTGGCAGCTCTTTGGGCCAAAGGTCGCCAATTCACTCTAGTGGCAAAAAGGTTGCAACGACTGATAGCTCTAGAGGGTACGTGCGCAGCCGCCACAGCCGAACAGGTTCAGCAAGCATTTGACTTTTATGCCAGTGGTAAGCCGGGTGGGACACAACTTGTTGCACGACAAAGAGCATCATCATCCAAGTTGGATCCGTTCTCTTCGGTTGGTGGCACGGGAGAGGCCAAGAAAGCTTTGCTCGATGCTTTAACCTTGGATGCCTCCAAGAGAGCTTTGCTAGACTCGATGGGGCTGGATTCTCCAATTGGAGTACTTCTTTATGGTGAGTGTGCTCTTTCCACATAGCGCAATGATGCTTTTCGTCAAACCTAACTTCAGAGTCCGCTTGTCCACAGGTCCACCTGGCTGCGGTAAGGAATCGAATCGTTGTCAAGATCGTGCATGTCAACTTCCGGGCTCACTGTCCATGGCTGACCTTCCTTACTTTGACTGGGCTTCCTTACGTTTGCATTGCAGGAAAGACGTTGCTTGCCAAGGCTGTAGCATCATACTTAGGAGCCGACAACCAACTGTTGGGAGGGGCGTTTATTCCGCTGAACTCGAGCGATATCGTTCAGTCGGCGGTTGGGGAGAGTGAAAAGCTCATTGTGAATGCTTTTGTGGCGGCACGAGACAATGCTCCTTCAGTTATCTTTATTGATGAGTTCCAGGCTCTATTCATGGAACGGAGTAGCAGTGGAAGCTCAAAACTTTCGAGCACACTTTTGCAGTGCATGGATGATGTCAAGCAATGGAGGAAAGCCAACAAGTCAGTGTCGACGGCACCAACAGGGTCGTCCAAGACTGTAGTAGTGCTCGGCGCGACAAACACACCGTGGATGTTGGATAAGAGTTTTCTTCGGCCTGGACGTTTTGATCGCATCATTCATGTTGGTCTGCCATCAGAACGTGATCGTGAAGCGATTCTGGGTGTGCATATCGGAAGAATGCGCATCAAGGGAGGAAAAGATGCCGTGCCAACCATCAGCAAACATGTAGCCAACAAAACAGAGGGGTACAGTGGTGCTGATCTCGCTGCGTTATGCAACTCTGCTGCCATACGAGCCCTCATCGAGAAGTGCGACTGCATAGAGGAGCAGCACTTTCTTGAGGAGGTTGAAAAGAAAACTGGCGGAAGCAGCAATTCACAATTAGTGCTACGCAACCAGAGTTGGAGGCCATGAATCTGGATTATGAACAATTATTCTAGGGTATACCATGTGTTTTGTACACGAACGGATGCCTCTCGGATCGCTCGGGATGGGTGATTCATGGCCACACTCAAAATTGAGTTGATGGCTGGTTTGATGGCCAGGAGCGCCTTCTTTCTTATTTCTATGTGACAGAGGCTTTCCATGACTTGCAAGATGAGCAACTTGCACGCAATATCTGACACCGGGTCTGACCCAGGAGCCCCCGCAAAGGCACGGAGCAGGCCTACCATGGCTGATTCTATGTAGTTAGACAGCTGAAGAAAGAAAGAAAGCATGGGAGTGAGAACTGGGGCCCAAGCTTGACAAACGATTGGATTTTTATTGCGCTCACCAAGCCTGGGTAAAGATGCAGCAACTTCATCACAGAAGCAACTACAAGCTTTTTCACCGTTTTGAGGTTGTCGCTGTCGAAGAGGCCCGAAACAAGACTTTGCACAATGAGCTTTACAAAATGTCCCCGATCTGACAAACTCATACACTTGATGTTGCCGGAGCAAACGATATGGCAAAGGATTGCAATGAAGCCGACGTCACAAGACGTAGTGGTTTGTCGTTCGGCAGCAAGCTTCATTGTTGGCTCCAGCAGCTTCATTGCCTTGTGTGACTGCCGCTGAGTCCATATCGGGCTCTTTCCGTGGCACAGAAAGGACCCAAAGCACTCTGCAGAAGTCATCATGATCGACAGCGATTCATCTCCTAACTTGCTGAAATCGATTTCCGATGTCTCCGAAAACGGAGCTTCCGCCTTCTTATTGCATGCCAGCAGGACGAAAAACTTTGAAAGCTCGTCAGCAGTGTTGACAGATTTGCCCCCCATCGCCGCAGCTGCTGATCCCTGCGAAGATATGATAACAAGAAGCAATTGTTAGAAACACGAGAACAAAACACCACTCTTCCTAGCAAATATTACTCACTACAATAGAGCACAGATTCAAACAGTCAACGACTTTCCCTTCTACCACCGGGTTTGGCTCCCGCAATTCGTTGGATGCATCAATCAGCGCTGGGGTAACAACTTCCACTAGCAATTGTTTCGCTGTGCAGTTTGCTTGGGTTCGGTCTGAAAAGTTGACGATGTAGGAATACAGACACGAAGCTGCTGCAGTCCGTGACGCGGGCTCGTAACCACTGTCGAGTGTGTACTGCGCCAACTCACTGCACGTAGAAATAGCCAATCCAAAGGCTGCAGAATTGGAAGACAGTTGAGGGAGATTGCCATTCTCAAGAGCCGCCGCGAGGAGTGGCAACAAGATGGACAACTTGATAGAATCCCCGTCGGACAAGGGAGGCAAGATGTTTGAAACTTGCGATAATAGCTTCATAGCCTCTGCCTTTGGCACCCATGTGGTGTAGGCAGGAAGCAAGGAGGAGACAATCTTTCGATTCTGATGATTTATGTCAAACAGAAACAGCACAAAGAGATGAATTGACCAGAGCTCAAAGCTCAAGAGAATAAGACAATCGATCGACTTACCATTTGTTGGGCCCTCTGCACCTCTTCGCTCGTTGGAGGAAGATCAAGGCTCGTCATGTTTTGGTCCTCTTCACCATCTAGCCTTGCCGCTTTTCGAGGATCCAAATCCCACAGCAATTGGAGGACATCGTGCACGGTGACGCTCGGTGCTGATAGCTCATGAAGGGCGCGAGCAGCTACGTCTCCTCCATGCTTGAGCACGTAGGACAGAGCCCCTGCACGGGCAACTACGACCCGACTATCGAATCGATCCGCCGACAGAGAATCGCGCAGAGCGTGGAGCAAAGCTTCAATAGCGGCAGTGGCGGCCGCCAAGGACGACGAACATGCTCGAGCAAGTGCAATGCGGTCAAACCTTCGCTGCTTACTCTTCGTATGCGTACCTTGCCTCGCTCGAAAGAGGAGGTCGACTAGCACTTTGCTCTTGAGCACATCTTTAATGCGATCAGATTGCAGAATGTTGTCCTTTGCCGTGCCTTCTCCTTGTGAATTGTCATCCGCCAACGCCTTCCCCACCATGCCACCCAACGTGTTTGCACTAGCTTGGACCAAATCGAGAGCATCTTTCTCAAGTTCCTCTTCGGTATCCGTGGCTTGCAGGACACCGCTGGCCAGCTGTGACACGAACTCTCCTATCTGCACCTGCTCTGTGATTTCAAAGCCATTAAAGGAGCTCACGCGCAAGACAGAGTCCAGCGCAAAAACAGAAGCTGTTCGAAGTGCCGTGGATGCGTTCGAGTCTACATAAATGGAATACAAGGCCTGGAAAGCCTTGGAGCCAAACGCATCAACAGGATGGGGATTGATCACAAATCCGTTTGCAAGTGCCTTGTCCATGGCTACCTTGGATGCCGAGAAGAAAGCTCCAATGCCAAACGCCGCCAACGTGGCAGCCTCCTCGTCACCTGACGAATATCCCTTGACGACAGTGATCAATTTGCCGACGGAAGAATCCATCACTACTCGAATCGTTTGGGGCGCTCCACTTGTCACCAAGGCAGCCAAGTAGGCAATGGCAATGCGCCCCTCATTTTGCTTGTCAAGTTCGGCGGCCATTCTGGTAACGGAGTCTTTGACAAAGACGGTCCACATTTTCTTGTCCTTGACAGTTTCCAAGCAAGCTGCGATTCGAGAGACGAGGGATCGGCACGAATCCGCCAATAGTTTGTCGTCTTGGACATTAATGCCCATGAGCACGCCCACAGCTGCTTCGTGATGGGAAATAATCAAGGCATTGGACAACTGCTGTACTGATGCATCATGGAGACAGTCGAAATTATGATTGGAGGATGATGATTTCTCGTTCCCAGGCATGAGGATTGCGGCGATATCGTCCAAAGCCTCTTTCTTTTCCGACGAGGACGATGCCACATTGCTATCATCTCCATCCACGGGCATCAAGCGTTCCAAGACGAGTCCCAGACAAAGACTTGTCATAGTATCTTGGTTCTTTTTCTTTTTCAACAGCAGCTGATCAAAAGTGGAATCACAAAGGACAGCCATCAAGGCGTCGTTCAGTCCCTTTCGCGTGATGCCATGGTTGTCGTTGGGAGGTGGTGTAAAGTTGATCGGGTAGTAGGGTGCCACGGAATCAAACACGGCCACAATGGGAAAGGAGGCTAGTTTGCCAGCGTTAAAAAGTGGCTGCATTGCCTGTTGAATTTTGTGTAGTAGAATGAGCATTTGCATCAGGCAACGCGGATCTGACTCTCCTTGCATACATGTGCAGGCGAATGTTACAAAGCCATTCATTTCAGATTCCACTTTTTTGGCCAATTTGGCCAGCAGCTCTGTCTGTGCGTTGCTTTTGACAAGATGTTCCACACTGACAACGGCAGATTGTAGCAGATTAAAGCACAAGGATCTTCTTGACCGAGGAAGTGTCGATAACCCATTGGTGACATCGCTGGTGTTGCGATATGGCATAATTTGAGAATCTTCGGCAAGCGCACAGCGTCTCGTCACGCCATCTTTGGCAGCTGCGCCATAAAACACGCAGTATCCCGTCAACTTTTTGAGGTCACCTTGTGAATTCTCCAACTGACAACTCAGTAGAGCCGAGAGGCATTTGACGGCAGTATCTCGAATTTGTTCACCGTAATCTTCGCCCCAACTACTACTAGTAGTGTCGTCTTCTTCTTGAATGGGCCCACACTGTTCCAAGAAAAAATCTCGCAAAAGATTGGCAGTCGCCATGGTCAATTCCGATTTTTGCTGACATCCTTCCACGGCACCGCAGATAATACTCAAAGCATAGATTCGGCTCGGTAAACTCTCTGCCGTCAATCCTGGACCCATGGTCTGAAACAGCTTGGCCAATGATTTCTCATTTTTCGATCCAGCAGCAAAAGAGTCACGAGCTTCCGACTGCAAACCCTTTACTATAGCGTCGTCGGGCTTTTGTACATTCTGACAGCGTTCCAGCCAGGAGGCAAACTTGGATTCCATTGCGATAGACAATGATGTGATGAGATAGAAAAACTAGAGACCTAACTTAGTTTGGGGGATGCAAAAGTGGTGGTTGCAGTTTGCGAAGACGATGATGATGCAGCAATCTTGGGTCTTGAAAGATCCATGGTGCTTTTGGGAGAGCTTTGACGGAAGAGGTGGATCTATTCGAACCTTCGATACAAATTCGAATGATTCGATTCGATTCGATTCATCATTCGAAGGAAGAATTGCCCTCAACGGACTGAGGGTCTTTCACACTTTTATTGCCCTCAACGGACTGAGGGTCTTTCACACTTTTTGCCCTCAACCCACTGAGGGTCTTTCACACTTTTATCGCTGTATGTGCAAGTTAGTCTGTACGTCGCTGTGTGTGCAAGTTAGTCTGTACGTCCGGCATAAGGGATGGGGTAAATAATAATTGTTAGTTGGTAAAATATACTCCGAGTACCAAACTATGTGTGTGTGCAAGTTAGTATGTACGTCCGCCATAAAGGATGGGGTAAATAATAATTGTTAGCAGGTAAAACATACTCCGAGTACCAGAGTATGTGTGCAAGTTAGTCTGTACGTCCGTCATAAAGGATGAGGTAAATATTAATTGTTAGCTGGTAAAACATACTCCGAGTACCAATGTGTGTGTTTTGGTTGGCTATCGATAGACTACAGTAGACTGTGTGTTCAGTTGAACACAGTGTTGGATTTGGCCAAAGAATCAAATCTCTTTTTTGACAGTTGAGGGCATCAGCCTTCGGCTGTCTGTTCTATCGCTGTATGTGTGTGTGTGTGTGTGTGTTTGTGTGTTTGTTGCAGCTGTTTTCGTCGCTCGTTAAGGATAGGGATTAATCTTGTGTGTCCTGTTGGACACAGTAGTTTCTACGCATGGGTACCAGTACTGGCTGGCTATGCAGACTCGCTAGTGTGTCCAGATAAACACGGTGGAGGTTTTGCCAAAGACATAAGGGACATTTTCCTTGTTAAGGATAGGGATTTATATTGTGTGTTCTGTTGGACACAGTACTCTGGACCCATGGGTACCGATACCACTGTGCCCGTACTGGCTGGCTATGGAGACTTGCTATCAATAGTGTGTCCAGTTGAACACGGTAAATGATTTGACCATTCTCTTTTTGACAGTTGAGGGCATCAGCCTCCGGCTGCTTGTTCTCGCTGTATGTGTATGTGTGTGTGTGTGTGTGTTTGTGTGTTTGTTGCAGCTGTTTTCGTCGCTCGTTAAGGATAGGGATTAATCTTGTGTGTTCTGTTGGACACAGTAGTTTCTACGCATGGGTACCAGTACTGGCTGGCTATGCAGACTCGCTAGTGTGTCCAGATAAACACGGTGGAGGTTTTGCCAAAGACATAAGGGACATTTTCCTTGTTAAGGATAGGGATTTATATTGTGTGTTCTGTTGGACACAGTACTCTGGACCCATGGGTACCGATACCACTGTACCCATACTGGCTGGCTAAAGAGACTTGCTATCAATAGTGTGTCCAGTTGAACACGGTAAATGATTTGACCAATCAAATCTCTTTTTGACAGTTGAGGGCATCAGCCTCCGGCTGCTTGTTCTTTCGGGAATGAAGAGATTTGGGATCAAAACTACAATTCACTGTCCTCAGTTTCTGGCTCGTGGAGGTCACCATGATGTACCAAGGAAACACAAAGAAGGAGAGGCAAAGTTGGGGCATTGGTGGCAAAACAACGTATGGCAAGAAAGAAGGATAAACTGGATACACGGAACGTGCAGAAACTAGACCAGATTGGATTTGCTTGGGACTCCCTTGAGGAAATCTGGAACACGATCTTCCAACTGTTTTCTCACGAGAAGGTCGCTGTGGGGTACCGGTACCGGTACCATGTCTGCATGTAGAAAGAAGATGTATTTGTGGGCACGTGGGTGAACAAGCAGCGGACTGCAAGAAATAAGGATAAACTGGATGCATTGAAGGTGCAGAAACTCGGTGGGTTGGGTTCATTTGGAATTCAGGAGATTGGAGGTGGGAACCCAATTTCAATTTGTGCACCGGGCGTGTTTCTGATGGTGTGTTTCTGATACTGGATAGACGTGTGTGCCAAAATCCTATGATAGAGATGGCGTCAAGCTTGGACAGTGGTATTGCAGGTAACTACTATTAATAGGTCTTAGCAGGAAACAAATGTTGGGTGACTCCAGAAGGCAGCGGATAACAGAACTTGGGCGTTCAGTTAAACCACCTTAACTTTCCCATGTCTACCTGGTCTTCTGTATACTAACCTGCCTGGACTGTGCTGGTTCAAACTTTGCAGCATTCTTTGATAATATGCATCACTACGGTATAGTATTTCAATTGATTCTGGAGCTCTTTTCACAAAACGCGGCCTCCCAAACTAGAAGTCGTCTTGCAAGTCCAGCACCACTGGTTCTTCTCCTGGTTTGAAGGCTGGCATTCCAAGGTATGGGCAACTGGCACATCTGAACGCATCGCCCATCCCACATTTTCCACACGAGCTCGTCTTTGCCTGTTGCTTTTTTTCTCCTGCTTCCTTGTCCGCTCTACCACAAGTGCAATCGTCACATGCTGCAAGAAAGCGTCGCCGAGTGAGTTTTTGTTGTTGTAGTAGAACACGAATTAAATTCAACCAAACACAAACATTATCCTGACGTACCAGTTCTGCCACCACAATCGTCTCCTGCCGTTGCGGTTGCTTCCATGGCTGGCGGAGGAGCCAATGCAGAATCCTCGGTCAATAGAATATCTTCGTCAATAAGATCATCGTCGTCCAAAGAAACGCTAATTGCTGGCTGTTTTTTGGTCAAGGGTTTCGCACCAGTGGATGTCTTGATTGCCGATGGTCGGTTGGCTGTAAACACGCGGGTTCCATCGGCTTCTCTTCGTTCCGACACTCCCTTCAAGCCCGCCAATAAAAACGAGGAATGAATGGCGTCCAAATTGCTGCTGTTGCTGTCGCCGAGGAGTGAGACGGACACGGTCGATCCCTCTTGCAGGCACTTGGCCCAGCTTGCCAATTCCATTGGATCGTACAATCCCAAATCATTCGTGTTCAAGACAATATCCAAGTGATCCAACGACGACGGACCAATATCGCCCCTGGCAGCCTTCATATCAGCGCCGGTAGCCGCAGCCACAGCCTTGCCCGATGAAACGGTCGACGGATCATTGGCCGCACTTCCCAAAAGAACGGTAAATTTGCGCACTTGGCTCATTGTGTTTTGTAGCTATTATAAAATAATGGACTTGATTTTCTGATCTATGGAGCTCCCGACGAGGCCTGTGGTTTCTTGGTTTGGAGGAATGATGATGGTTGATTGCTTCGGTTTTGGTGCTGTTGGTTGCTGTGGGGTGTTCGCATGGGGGGGTGGTGGGAAGCAGGGGGTCTTGGAACATCCATTTCAGTTAGAACCAAATGGAAGAGAAAGTAAACCAACAGAGCTTAAATATTACCGGAATTACCTGTGCTGTACAGTACGATGGCGCAATTGGCCAAAAGGTGGAGACAAAGCTAAATTGTTGTTTCCAAACAGTAGTCTGGTACAGCAGGGGGAAAAGAGTTCATTTATTTGATTACGACCAACCAACCTGGATAGAATTAGAAACGATTGACTTGAGCATCGGGGTCAGGACGGCTACATTGGTAGTAGAGTTCGAAGGCGGCAACCAAAAGCATTCTATCTTACTACCGGCACACTTCTACAGGGAGGCTTTGGAAGATATGCTGCGACTGCCACCAGCCATGTACTACAAGCTGCTGCTGGTACGAATCTACTACGGTACATGAAGAGGATTGCTTCCGTGTCTTGGCCCCTTTAGAATGATACCTTACTAGCTTTCAATTGATACCAACAAACTAGACTACAGTGTAAAACGTAGCCAACTGATCGGAGAGTTTTTACGAGTAGATTGTTTGGCTGGTCAATATGGATGACCATATCAGTATCATAGTATCATAAACCTCATAGATAACACAGTTGGTACAGGACCTTGATGGGAGTATGAGACATGCGCTCTTCTTGAAATTCCTCTACAATCTCTGCGGCTCGGAAAATCAAATCATCTGCAGCTGCTTCCAAACGCCAGCACAAATCCAGTGCCACTTGTCCTTGTCTCGCGGCTTCATGGGGATTATCTTTGGTATCCAAACAAATGACATGAATCGGTTCAAAGTCTTGCGTGGGTTCTCGCATTTGCAAATCTTCAATGACGGCATCAAAGATACGCTCTTCAAAGCAGATTGTCACATCATGTTGTCCAACATACTCAGACGATTCATCTTGCCACCGCTGAGGGGCTCGCTTGACCGCAGCTCCACGACGACACAGTTGCAGCACTCCGTTGCGCTGGAAAAAGGCAGTGTCTTCGGGAGTGGCCGACAGTGATCCGTACATGTCGGCGTAGGGCGTTCCAAATTTGAAGATGCGTGGTTCCACTGTGGTTTTGTTGGAATGAATTGAATCAGAATAGAATCATACTATGGTTAGAAAAATGCAGAGCAGCAGTATCTTTACGAGTACATGTACGTAGTACAGAAGTGATAGGCAAAAACCATCAACTCACTCGCAGATCTTCCTGGTAGACGGACTTGGGAACCAGTTCCATAGCTTTCTACCCGTAGCCCTGTTGACAAAAGGAGTTGTGACGACAATGGGGATTGTTAGTTTAATAGCACCGTAGGAAGTGATTTCTCAGTTCATCATGCTAAAAGTCGGCACTGTACCCACCTGCATTGCCCAAAACCAAATGGGCTTCCATGGAACGATTGATATTCGAAGAACAGACTACCCCAAACGAAAGCTTGGACTTTTCGTGATAGGCTTCAGGTGGTGGCACACCAGGAGGCGTAGCTGGACGATGAAGAGTGCTTCCATGGGGCGGCATGATGCTATTACTTTGATGTAGATGAGAAGGAAAGTGATTGATCTGCAAATCAATAAACGTTTGGCGGCAACGGGGTTACTTTGTGCTTCATGAGAAGGTTGGGATGGAGTTATTGTTGTTGTTTGTCTTCTCTCGGTGGCACGCACATTTGCCTCCATTTTGAACGCGACTGAGACTCGTCACTCGACTCGTCACTCGACTGACCTCTGCTAGAGACTGAGACTCGACTCGACTCATTTTCGCGGCAGTGCGGTGCAGCAACCCTCCTCTCGCTGTTGCTATTGTTTCTTCTTGTCACCTTTCTCTTTGCTGATAGTGTGCAGATGCTCGAGGCATTGCTGTAGTAATCGCCTGCGACGACGCATCATCAGAGTCATGCCGAAAGAGGATCGGTCCGATTGGGTGGCAGTTGCCCCTGAATTTCAAGCAGCTGGACCCCAAGATGGTGTGTTCAAGATTCGACCGGCATCATCGGCATATCAGTTCTTTCAAAAGGACGTCACGGAGGAAGCCAAGGCCGAGTTGATCGCTGCGGAAGGCAAGTTCGAGGTGGGAAAATTCTCTAGGTTGGTTCGAGAAAGATGGAATAATCTCGATCCGGAGGAGAAAGCACATTATGAAGGACTGGCGCAAGAAGACTCGATTCGCTTCAGGAGTGAGAGCCATGCAGCTGATGTAGCTGCCATGGAACGAAAGGCAAAGCTCCGAGCGGAGCGAGAACAACTCATTGTGGATGATGAAGGAGGAGATCAAAGAAAGACTAGAGGACAGCGCAAGAAGAATGAAAAGAAGAAAATCCGCATGGAGAAGAAGAGGCGGAAGAAGCCTCGAACCAAGGAGGATTCAGATGGAAGTGATGAGGATTCTGGAGAGTCCTACAAAGATGAGGGGCCGTCCTCGGACAGCGATGACTCGGATGATTCAGAGGCTTCCAAAAAGAGAAAACCAAAGCCCAAGCCTGCACCGCGAAAAATGAGCCAGAAACAAATAGAGCACAGAGAGAAACTCAGAGAAGAAAAGCAAGGGAAGGAACGATACATCGAACAACGGCAAGATGATCTTCGGAAGGAGAAGGCTGACCAAGCCAAGAGACGGCTCATGTTCCTTCTGAAACAAAGCAGCATTTTCTCTCACTTTGGGGCCGTCAAGGAGGACCAGGCGAAATTCGGAATAAAAGCAAATACCAAACGAACGGGGACAGATGGAGAGTCTCGGCGGAGTGCCCTTGGGGACGATGAAGGCGACCAGCAGGATGCTGCCGACCTTGAAGACGACGCTCAGACTACCTTCCTGACCACGCAGCCAACTACTCTGGGGTTCGGGAAGATGCGTACCTACCAATTGGAGGGTCTGAATTGGATGATTCGGTTGCAAGAAAATGGTGTAAATGGCATTTTGGCGGATGAGATGGGTCTGGTACGTCCTGCCTTGTCCCTGGCGTCATTGGTGATGACTCCGAATTTTTTTCTGATTTTTGCAATCCATTTTCACACTACAGGGCAAGACATTGCAGTCCATATCTGTACTAGTATATATGTTGGAGTACCGCAAGGTCACTGGGCCTCATCTTATTGTTGTTCCGAAAAGTACTTTGAGCAACTGGATGGGGGAACTGGCACGCTGGGCTCCGTCCCTGACCGCCGTCAAGTTTCATGGGGACAGGGCATCTCGAGAAGAAATCATTCGAAAGTACCTAGAGCCAGGACAAAGGGACGAAGATAGAACTTGGAATGTGTGCGTTACTACGTACGAAATTTGCAACATTGAAAAAAATGTCATGAACAAGTTTGCTTGGCAATACTTGATTATCGATGAGGCGCACAGATTAAAGAATGAAGCATCAGCATTTTCCAAGACAGTTCGGCAATTCGAAACGCGGTACAGAATACTTCTCACAGGGTAAGATGAGCGACTGTTTGGGTCTTCTGAGCATTCCTGTTCTCCTCCTGACCCTTTGTCATTGGCGCAGAACTCCGTTACAGAACTCGCTACATGAGCTTTGGGCTTTGTTAAATTTTCTTGTCCCAGATGTCTTTGCAAACGCCGAACAGTTCGATGAATGGTTTAACTTGGACATCGAGGACAACGACGAGAAGAACAGACTCATCTCACAGTTGCACAAGATCCTTCGCCCCTTTATGCTTCGTCGGCTGAAGGCAGACGTTGAGAAGTCCCTGCCGCCGAAGCACGAGACAATCCTGTTCACAGGGATGAGTTCGATGCAAAAGAAGCTATATCGAGACATTCTGATAAGAGATATCGATGCCATCCAGGGGAAAAATGCAGGCAGTCGCACAGCCATTCTGAACATTGTCATGCAGTTGCGCAAGTGTGCAGGTACGTTCGTACATGTGCGACTAATTTTTTCAAAATATATGCTCTTATCTTAACTCTGCTGCATGCACTGCATACACCTCGACTGCAGGACACCCCTATCTGTTTCCTGGCGTCGAAGACCGATCATTGCCACCTCTAGGCGAACATTTGGTAGAAAATTGCGGCAAGATGGTCCTACTCGACAAGTTGCTGAAGCGTCTCCGTGAAAGCGGTCACAGGGTTCTGTTGTTTACGCAAATGACTCGTATCCTTGATCTCATGGAAGATTACCTCGTAATGCGACGATTTCCCTATTGTAGAATTGACGGAAACACCAGCTATGATGATCGTGAAGACTACATTGAAGCCTACAATGCCCCCAATTCCGAGAAGTTCTTGTTCCTTCTGTCCACTAGGGCCGGCGGTTTGGGTATCAACCTCCAGACTGCGGACGTTGTTATCCTCTATGATAGCGATTGGAATCCTCAGGTCAGTTTTCAAGAGCATTAAAGGAACTTTTCAGGCGATTGAGGTCGTGCTAATGTTTTTGGTGATTTTTCATTCCTCTCCTCTCCTTAGGCTGATCTTCAAGCACAGGACCGTGCTCATCGCATTGTAAGTGGGTTCGCTGGTCGTTCGAACGAGTGTGTATTCTATTTCCCCATGCCGCCATGTAGCTCATCTTTCATTCTTCATGTTGCGGTTTGCAGGGTCAAAAACGACCGGTTCAGGTATTCCGATTTGTGACAGAACATACCATTGAAGAAAAGATTGTTGAACGAGCCCAACAGAAACTCAAACTTGATGCTATGGTAGTCCAGCAGGGGCGCCTGAAAGATAAAGGCAAAATGTCACGAGATGATCTCTTGGAAGCCGTTCGATTCGGAGCCGACAAAATCTTCAAGAGCAAAGACTCCTCTATTACGGATGATGACATCGACCTGATCTTGAATGCCGGTAAGCGAAAGACACAAGAGCTGAACGACAAACTCAAGGCAGCCGAGAAAGGCGATTTGCTGGACTTCAAACTCGACGGCGGCGGGAACGTGCAGACTTTCGAAGGTGTTGATTACTCTAGCAACGCCCTGGCTCAGGCAAAGGCCGAAGCTGAGCTGATCAGCATCATCGACATTGGGAAGAGAGAACGCAAGCCAGTTGCGAATTACAACGAGAACCTCTTGTACCAGCAGCAGATAGCTGCCTTGCAGGGAAAGTCTGTCAAAGCTCCCAAGAAAAAGAAGGAAATCAAATTGCCAAAACACCTGCGACTCCCTCGCATGGAGGACTTCCAGATGTACGACAGAGAGGCGCTGTTGAAGATCCAAGAAGAGGAGGAGAAAGCCTTTCGTGAGTTACCGGAAGAACAACAAAAGATGGCAGCTACAAAGAAGAAGGAACAAACGCAACAAGAAGCAGAAGAGAAACCAGCGGAAGAAGGCGATGTAAAGACGGAACCGGAAGAACCTTTTGAGTTGCCCCCGTTACTTGACGAAGAAAAGCAACAGCTCAAGGCCAAGCTTCTGGCCGAGGGATTTGCAGATTGGAAACGGCAAGAGTATCTGATGTTTATCAAGGCTAGCGCGAAGTACGGGAGAACCGCACTCCCGAGTATTGCCGCCGACGTCGGAAAGTCAGAAGCCGATGTGGAGCGATACGCTTCAGCCTTCTGGGGCGACCTTGGCAAAACTCGATTCTCGGAGCATGAGTACGACCGCGTTTTCAAGCTCATCGAGAAAGGCGAGAAGAAGATCGACGAAATCAAATCGTTGGAACGCGGCACAAGGATACTCGTTTCGTTGTTTTCAAATCCCTGGGATGAACTCGAGTTCAATTACGTCAATTGCAAGGACAAAATGTTCACCTCAGAGGAAGATCGTCACTTGCTTTGTTGGACACACAAGGTACGTTGTTCTTACTACACTGTCCCCCCTTTTCCCGGTTTTGCTTCATCCAGCATGGGGCCTGAACAGTTGCTTGATTATGTTATTTGTTTTGCAGTTTGGCTACGGACAATGGAACGCAATAAAGATGGCCATTAGGCGGAGCCCAGCATTTCGATTTGATTACTTTATCCGCAGTCTGAGTGTGGATTTGCTTGGCAAGCGTTGCGAACAGCTTATGAAGTTTGCAGAGAAGGAGGTGGAACAGCTCGAGCAGAAGGCAAGAGAACAGGCAGGCCTTCCGTCTGAGCCAACCCAAGAAGGCGACTCACTACAACCGATTGAGCTTCCTGAGATCTCAATCCTGCGAGAACAGATTCGTTCAAGTAAGAAAGAGAAATTGGAAACCGAGAGAAAACAGCTCGAAGAAAAGGCGGCAGAGGCGGAAAAGCAGTTGAAGGACGTCCAAGACAAGTTGAAGGCTCTGACTGAGTCATCGGACTATGACCTTCCCGGCAGTGCCGTCAAGGAGCCACCGGACCGAGGGCAGGGAGAAAGCTCAGAGAAAGAGAATGCGGACGCTTACAATGAATCAAAGCCTGATGGAAATAACGAAGAGAACGGAGCCATGGGTCCCGAGGGATTCCTTGAGTTTCCGGAGTACGATGGCTCGGAAGAACCCAAGGAAAGCAAGAAGGCCTTCACACATTTTTGTATGCACACTCGGAAGGAAGTCAAAGCGACGCTTGATCCTAGTGAACGAAAGAACAAGGTAAGCAGCTGTGGGCATTACGTTGAATTGTTTGCTTCCCGCTGCAGTTACATGTACATTTAACATTGTTGCTGTGCTGATTTTGAGCAGGAAGTTGTCCATGGAATTCTGAGGGAACGCTGGGTGCAACTTGCAGACGACGACAAGACAGTGTGGCGACAGTGGGCCTCCTGGGACAAAAAACGCTACGAGCGCGACCTGGCTATTTATGAGGAGAAAAACTCCAATGGTGGCAACTCTACCAAGTCCCAAACCAACGGCGATAAGGAGGATTCCATCCATGTCCCCAAGAAGCGAAAGCCGTCGGCTGAATCAGATGTTGGCTCACCATCCTTCAACTCAATCCCCAAAAAACGCCGCAGTGCATAGAGCGACTTACAGAATTTTTAGATCACGACCGTCATTTCCGTCCATTGTATTTTTAGGAGCTGTAACTGATTCAATTCTGAAATGCTAGTATTGTAAGTCTACTAGGTCCACAATCTAGCTATGGTAGAGCCTCTTGGATACCGGTATGTTGTCCTGGAGCCTTCGAACCTTTTGCCGCATCAGGCCAATCTGCGCTCGTCAAGCACAATACCTAACCAGTTACAACTGCAGTAGCCATCACTTCATTCAGTATAACGGGGGTTAGAGTAGGTGGATTGATTCATCCTAGTAGTGAAATTCTTAGTCTACTAGTAACCTCTATCTAGAGCCTCTTCGAAGCCAGTTGAATCAGGAACTTGACTCCTTTGAGCCAATCCTTGTGATCTTTCCAGTCATCGTTCACCAATTGCTTTTGAATTTGAGTAGTGGTGTTGTAGTCTCGGTTGAGAAGTGCAGTGACGAGATTCGAGACCTTTTGGATCACGCCCGCGTCAATGTCACCACGCGCAAGTCTCTTCACAAGGATTGCCACGCCCTTTTCTGCCTCAGAGAGCTGTCGCTTGTCTGCAGCTGTCAGAGGAGCTGCAGCAAGAGACGACGTGATCGTGAGCAAGCCATCCTTGATAGGATTGTATTCGGCAGGAAGCTGAACACTGTCGAAGTTCAGCGTGGCCGATACTGGTGCTTTCCCTGGTGTGACCTGTGCAATACCATGTCTCGTAGCGCCAGTGTACGGGTTACTCGTTCCAACGTTTCCATACTGATACGCAAGCTCAGGATGAGAAGATGAACTGACGAAGCCATCCCCGTACTTCGAGGCCAATTTCGTATTCGTCGCCGAGACGCTGGATGCCTTTTTGTCAGCTGCGTATTGTGCCTGCGAATTCTGAGCCGACGTGTATTGTGCCTGCGAATTGCTAGTAGCATTCTGCGTTTGCGTAACAGGTGTTGATGCTCTTTGACTCTGAGCTGAAACCGTGCCTGGCGGCGGGTCCCATCTCGTTTCTCCTGTGGTTTGATTCGCATAGTACGTGTTACCACTTGTCGGGTCTTGGAGGGCCATCCAACCAGCGGGCAACTGCGGTGTCTGAATTCAGTAAAAATCAACAGTGAGACGCCCAACAAGACTATGGCCGAAAGGAAGCCGTAGAGGCAAACTTACCGCTGCAGGTGCCGGCGCTGGAGTGCTTGTTCCGTTTTGCATGCTGGTCTGCGCCTGCTGCTGATTGCCCGCGTAGCTAGATCCGGTGTTGCTGTGTGCACTGGTGTTGCGCATTTGTTGCGTGTTGTTGTTGGCTGTGTTCCTCACTGTCTGCGTCGTCCTCTTCACAGGATTCATTGAGAATGGGAACGGAGGAGCGGAACCTAGAACTTGTAAGCACTCCGCGCTGGATCTAGATCGATACAATCTGTCACGCAAAATCTGGCTCTCTTCAGAGTCACCCCTAAAAGAGAGAACAGCAAGAGGTGAGTCAAAACCTCAGCTTATTCAGCCGTCATGTCAGCAGAGACCACTTACCGAACGTATTTCGCTGCAGGCACGAGGAGTCCTTGGTCGGCCAATGCACTGGCGTATTTCGTGAACAAAACTCCTATTTCGGGAGAAACTGTTGAGGCGCCCCCGGTTGCTTTCATAAAGACAGACACCTTGACAACGAATTGATGAAGAGCCAGCAAATCCAAAGATCCCTTTTGCTGAACGGTTAGAGGGGTTAGCCGCAGTATCATGCGGTAGGTCAAAACAATAAAAACTGTCGAAAAATCTGATTGCACTCACCTTATTTGCAGCTTCCAGTTGTGACAACCAGTATCGTACAGAGTGGTCAAGACTGAGCGAGCACATGTAGCAGAGATTGGCAGCATGGTGATCACCAGCTTCAGAGAGTTTGTCACCTAGGGATATGCAGAGAGTTGGGAACTCCTCGGGTGTGGCGTATGTCGATGCCAGAGCAAGTGTCTCTTGCCACTGAGCTGCATCTGAAGTGGAAACAAGATCCCCAACTTGGCCTCGAATGATGGCGCTAACCATGGCAAGAAAGGGCCGTTTGGGAGACTCGCTCTCGAAAAATCTTTGCTGCGTCTTGGCCCAGACTTCGGCTCCAGCACAACTTGCTAGCAACAACGCGTCTGCCAGATTCCCTGCATTGAAACAGCATTCCACAGCGGCTTCGTAGTTTCCTACCAGGAGAGCCTTCTTGACTGTGTTCTCAGCAGTCTTGCTCATACCGTTCTTTTGTCCTACAGTTGGTGCGCCGTTTGCCGTGTCTGTTGCAGGAGCCATGGCTTCTTCTGCAATTTTCTGAGGATCCAAACCCAGGTGCTTCACCAGCACTTGCTTCGCATTGCTCTCAAACATCACTTTCATGAATCCCCAGGTCTGCTGTTCTAGCTGCGATGGTGCTGAGGCTATCTTTCTGTCGCAAAATCCCGTGATATCCGAGGATTGCATTTCGGCCTCAAACGCGTTGGATGCCTGAACCAGCTCCGGCTGCTCGTGAACCTTTCGAATTTGCACAATCTTGTCCGTCTTTTTGCAAGAGATAACAGTACCACCATAACCACAGGACACAGAACTGCTAGGTTTCATCCATTTTGGAGGACGGCCGCACTTTGTTGCCAAGCCAATAACAGAATGGACCTGCACTTTTCTATCGAGAGAACAGGTAGCCATTACTCCGCGTTTCATGGGTGACCATTGAATATCATAACGACGTTGTTGTGCGGGAGCAAGACCACTAGATCCGAACATTTCGTTTTGGTTGTTGATACTATCGTGTGCTGACTGTTCAGGGATATCATTGGGAACATCGGCGATGGGTCGAAGTGTATGCAAATCCCAGAGGACAGTACGATTATCCTTTCCGCAACTAAGGTAGAAATGACAGTGAGATATAGTAGCTTCATGCATGCATGAAAAATCCGCGAGACGTAGCACTTACGACAACAATAGCGTATTATCGTGTGGACACCAGGACGTCTTGAGAATTCCTGCTGTGTGTCCTGTGAGGGTTGTGAGAGGCATGCTTGTGGAAGCCCTGAGATCCCACAACTTTAGAACAGGATTTCTGTCATCTGCAGAGGCTGTCAAGATATGCAATCCTTCAGTTGGATTCCAACAAATATCTGCCACTGCCTGACCCGACGTTTCACATCGTAGGTTACACCAAGCTTTCCTAGCGTTTAGATCCCAGACAGCCACCGATCCATCACCGGCTGCACTGGCAACAATATGAGCCACCTGCGTGTTCCATGCGACTGATGTGATTTCTGTGCTTTGACTGTAGTCAGGACAAGGAGCAAAAACATCTGGTGCTTCCGGAGTGGACAAATCGGCTACCATGACTTTGCCGTTGGCACCTCCAGCAGCGAGCATTGTAGGATTCAAACGACTGAATTGTAGTGCTTTAATGGGCCCCGCCAATCCATTAGAAATAGAGGTCAGCAGTGGATCTTGCTGCTGCATAATGGCTGTGGGGTTCCAAACATGGACCGTGCCATCTGCCATTCCTCCAGCCAAAAGACCCATTTTAAACCGGTCAGCAAGCGATTCACCAGTCGTCCAAGCAACACTAGCAAATCGGCTCTGTGTTTTGACCGACCCCACGAGGTTTGGTTGAGGAGAAGGACCATCTGGAGACGTCAAATTTAGATCATAGAGATCAATCTCTCCTCCTGTGTCATCAAAGCCAATGCCACCAGAGTCCTATTGGCATCAGATGAAAAGACAAGGTGAGCTTGTTTAAAAAAAAAAAGAGCCCCAATAACCAAGGGAATCTAACCAATTTTCCCCAAATTTTCCTCTTCACGCTTTACCAGCTACACACACTCATCGGCTTTCCATCGTTCTAAAAACCAGCCATTGTGGAATGAGAAAGTACGGTCATTGGAGGCTCACCTTGGTGCCCAATGCTATTATATCTGGGTGTGACGCGTTGGGGCTCCATGCTATGGTTGCCCCCTTGTCTTCGATCTGGGTTATCTTCGTCATTGTCATCTCTTGTTGTGCCTTTATCAATAGTAACAATAAGACTTGTGGAGGCTACAACACTTTATCGTGAGAGGAATCGAGGTCAATGCACAGGAGGTCTCTTCCACAGAGCGCTTTGCCAATCCACCAGTCGCTGTTGGCCAGCAAATCCTGCTGAAGATCCAAAGTAACGGTCGACCATGGCCTCGTATCTCGGATCTTTCGTCCGCCCAGCCGGCCACGTCGATAATTTCTCGGCGTGAACCCGAGCCCTAAATTTATTGTTATCCAGCAGAGATGCTTACAAATCAGAGGTGCACCATGGCTAGTAGCTAGCTAGTTGGAGGCATTTATTTTTGGTGATCTTATTGTTTTATTGTCGAAGCTTTGCGGAGTGTGGTTGGCGGACTTGGGCGCCGCATGGGTTGTACATGTAGCGTACTAGCTATAGCTAGTATCTGGCTGGTAGGTTCGGGTCAAGGGAGTGTCAGATTGATCGGCTTGTTGCTCTAACATTAACGTGGCTTAGATTCGGTGATCCTGTACCGTATGGTAGGGAACCTCGTCACGAGCAACTCCGGTCTGCGAGGACAGGAGCAACGGATCAAGAAGAGGAAAACCTGTCCTTTCGTTGTTTCTTTCAGAGTCTTCTGTCATGGTCAGCTACCTTACCAGTACTGTACCCAGCGGGATATCATTTGGCTGTGGCATCGGCGAACCGCCCCATTAGCTTCGTCGGGCAATAGAAGTTGATTGCGAAGGTAGTTGGCTGTGAAAACAGGTGCAGTATACAAATCCACTCCAATCTGCAGTGCCTCGTACTATCAATCGTCTCGATACCAGTAGCTACACGAGTTTGGTATACATGCCAGCTCACAAAGAAGCATTCAGCGTCTGCTATTCTTTCGAAGTCTAGCCACGGTATCTACCTAGTAGATACCGGTAGAGCATCCAGCTACCGGAAGCGAAAGCACGGCACGATTTTTGTCCATCGGTAGATTGCTCAAACCCATGTACACTGGTAGGTTCTTTGGCCAGCAGCCAACAATGTCACCTGCTATACTCGATTCCAAAGTACCGTATTGGTACCGGTACGCGCACAAGAAACAACAGGCTATTGGTCGGACTGGTGAGCACCAACCAGCAGAAGAAAAGGATACGTTGCTTGCAATCGTTGATCCCGCATGCGAGCAACCGTTTTGCTTACTCCAGGCGCTCCGGGATACTCCTAACTAAGAAGAACATTGTAGCACCGTAGTAGCTTCATACTCTGAACTTTGCAACCCCCTGAAGGATTTTTCAGCCCCTGTTCACCATAGTATGATATCTGTCCAACAACCATCCATATAACTAACGCAGCCATCCAACCAACGCAAGAGATCATCCGATCATCTTTGGGCCAGCATCCGTCTTTATCCAGGTCCGGTTCGAGCCAAAAATACACTGGATCTGGGAAAAGCAATCTTGCAACCCAACCGATTGCCCAGCCTGCTCGCCGAAGGGGAGACGCGCTCTCTAGAATAGGGAGTCGCGGTAGCATCGCGTCGTCTTCCTTCTCAAGTCCGCATCTAGCTAGCTAGCTAGCTAGCCAAGCACAACACGAACCAACCAGAGTTCCGTCAGAGGAAAGGGTCGCTACTCTGATCGCAACAACAGGAAGCACCCATCAAGTAAGAGTCGAGTCGAGTCCTGATTGCAGAAACCCTTCGAAGGGACCGACTAACAATAAGGAGACACACGAATACTAGCCAGCTAGAAGGAGGAGTCTGTCAACATTCCCTACTAGTACAACAAGAGAGGCGACCTACTTCTACGCTAGCGAGACTTGCAGCGCAGAAGATTGGGTTTTGTTCGAAAGAATCTGGGGACAGCTGCTTCTTACAAAGGCCCTGTATCTACCCGAAATTGGAGGACCCAGGAAGCACTATCTAGTTCTGCCAATCCATTGTTTGCTCTAGGTAGAGGTAGAGCCGAAGAGTTGACATACTTGACAATTAGCTAGTTAGCGGAAGGTTGTCCGCAGGAAGATGAATGCGGATGGAATCATTGCAGCAGACACGACGACGACGCCGCCGCCAAGTTCTGCGGAGATAGGAGAAGCCTTGACACCATGTCCATCCAGTGACAGCAGCGCCGCTAGAAGCGCGCCGCCGATGCCACCCTTATCGCCGCCGCGGCCATCCCAACCTCACTCACAATCTCTAGGCTCACTGCCCAATACCCCGGCTCCGCCGTCGTCTGCGGATCGGTCTCCCGCTGTCACTCCGACTCCGCAACAACGAATGGACGGACCCGTATGGGCAGTATCATCAGAGGAAACCGGTGTAGTTCTGGGATTGGAACAACTGGAACGCCAACAAGACGAAGCGGAACGACGGAGAAGAGAACAGAGAGCAAGAGCGACTACTCCTCGATCGCATCAATCACCATCTCCTAGTCCAGCTATGCCTTCCACACCACAAAGCACTCCACGACGACAATATCTCGATGACGACGAACACACGGCACCATCCTCCACGACCCACACTACCAGAGACGCCGCCAGCCACACGGGGGACACGTCTCTAGGATCAGGAGATGATGTCTCCGCCAAGGAATACACCAAATTCGAACAAATGATGAAACAAACACGACACTCGCTCCGGAAATTGTCGTCGCAAAGTAGCGATTTCCTACGACGTCGTGGAAGCAACGACATGGTGGATCCTGCGGAAGAGGATGATGAAGGCGGGGCGGTGGATGCCATCATCTATGGACACTTGCAAAAGCTAGGGCGAAATGGAAAATGGCAAACCAGATGGTTCGAAAGTGATGGAGAGTGCTTATCCTATTACAAATCTAGCAAAAGAACCAAGCTACTCGCCACTCTGGATTTGGAAAAGGTATGCTTCGATGCTAGTTTGGAATTTGACGTGATTTTTTTGGCTGCGTTTCTAACCCATTTACAAATGTACAACGTAAACGTAATTGAAGGCGGGTATTATTGTCGTCAATGAAGATGATCCAAAGGGATGCTCCTTTACGATTCAAGTACTCGGGCGACCCTACTATTTGAGAGCAGAAAGTAGAGGCGCATGCAAAGACTGGGTAATTACTCTGAATCGAGTTAAGGAAGCAAAGCTACATCTAGGAAACGTCAAGCTAGTACAGAAGCAAAGACACATTCTGCAACTGCGACACAGCCCCCCGGACTTATTGGATGGTAATGTGAGCACGTATACACAAGGAGTTGTGGCGCACGCAAACAGACAACGCACCCGCGCAGTCAACTTGGAAAACATTGAAGAAATGATGCACAAAGAAAAGGAGGAGGATCTGGATGTGAGCGATCCAAGCGTGACTCCGGCGTTCGAGGAGAATGAATCCATCTCGCATGTCGTTTTGGCACGGTGGCAAAAACGAAAAACATCAATGTCGAAGCTCGCGACTAAACTGGCGAAATGGGCAAGGAGCGTCAGTAAGAAGTATAATTGTACCGACGTGGAGAATGACGTGCGGTTGGACCGACACGTTCACCCACCTGGGCATGATGATCCTGTCGCTGTAAGTCGCACTATCTAGCCGGGAAGAATTTGATGCACGTTTTGTTCTCTCACTTGTGTTTGGTTTTGTTCGTCCATTCTCTACAGCGTCCCATGCCAAAAATTGTAGAACGAGACGACGATATTCCCAAAAATGATCCAGCTCTAAGTGGTTGGATCGGGAAGGAAACGTCACTTGCGGTGAAGGCAGGCCCAGTGGTGATGGAACCAGATGATTCATCTGTTGGTGAACCACCAATGAACGACCCAGTTTCCCTCTCTGTTTCCTCTGGTAGCTCCTCGAATCCCGAAGAGGACGAAAGTGAAACCGAAACCAGAGAGTTGTCATGAGAGACGTGAAACGCCTTTCTATTGAAAGGTCTGGATGTTACTAGATTTGTTTATTGTGAAAATGTGTCGATGAAGAAACACCCGAGATTTCCCGACGTGCGCGTATTGGACATGGAGCTGTGGCTTGGGTGTTTTTTATGTTTTTGTGGTCCTTTTATGTCATTGTATTGAGGTTCCGGTCTTGAAGGCTATGAAAGATGGAACCATTCGTCCCATATTTAAACTATCATACTGCTTTATTTTGCTTAACCCCTTTCTGTCCTCCAGCACGAAATTTCCATCGGCTATTAATAGCACGCTAAGGAACCGATGCACTAGCTAGCTAGCTGGAAGCTTGGCTACCGGAGACAGCAGCCACAACCAAACTACTAAACCCAACGACCTTTAGACAGCAGCCATCCCCGAGACTTCCGATTTGATACGGTGCTGGTTGCCGTGGACCGACAGCGGTCCGCTTGAATTTCTGTTGGCTGAAGTAGATTCTAGATGCAGTGCCTCTCGATTGCCTTCAAGTCGCAGAGAGCACTCGGAAAGTTTGATATTCGCCTCTGAGCCCGGGTTGGGCTGGTTGCGGCTTCTTTGGCCATGGGCCCAGAAAAGTCAGATGCAAGCGTTGCAGTCTTCGTAACTCCCAGCCATTCGTCTCCTCCTCGCGTGCTTTAGTGGCGTGCAGCAAAGTCGCGGACAGAAGTGCATGAAATGCCAACACTACTACCTATTCAATTCAACCTGTACTGCTGAGCTTACGGTGTGATTCTAACATCGAAAAGTGCAAGTATTGTGCTGCCGGCCCAGTCTTACTGCTCGTCGGATCCATGACCAATTCTGGAACCCTCTTCATCGAAGAAGAAAAACTTGAGAGCCTACTCCAGGTTCCACACCAGGAGCTACTCCTAGTCCAGCCATTTCCAGGCAGTCCCCTCTCGTGCTCCCACACCTCGACCAACGCCAGGACCAGCTCCTGTCTAATCAACTCCTGCAACGAAATCTATAGAGCCTGCCAACACAATCGCACATTTCACAAGTACCATAATAGCCCAAGCGCTGGTGATCCCCATGGGGATGAAAAAGTTTAGCCAAACAACCAAAAAGTTACCACAGAGCCTAGCCCGCACCCCTTTCTAGCTTTTGCCACCGCAGTCTTGCTGCCTAGACTAGAGATTTGGGGGGGGGTTAGGCACCAGCGCGAGGGAGGGGAAAAGAAAAAAAGAAGAAAAGGGTGAGGGTTACATTCCAGATTCCGAATCGAGAGCAAAGATCCAGTCATCGAATGACATGAAATACATATAGTAAAGAGGGGAAATGGCAATGACCTTTACTTTCCCCATACTTTAACAGTCATCGCCCCATTGAAATCATGCCTGAAGAACAAGAAATATGTCAGCAAATACGTCACAACAGCATCATCTCTCCTTGGTCTCACATTGCTTCCATATTTTGAATCCATTCAACGGCTTTGCTCTTTTCCCTCTTTTCCCTTTCCTTCGCTCGAACCAAACCCTCCCACTCTGACTTGAACTGACTTGACTGTCAGCGGCCGAGAAAAGAAAACATTCCCAAGCTGGTGTGATTTCAATGAGGATGGCTTTCTGCTCTGAACCGGAGACGGTTGGATTGAGTGAGGCTTCGATCGACGCCTGTCGCACTTGTAGAGAGGGATCCAACGCTTCGGTCGTGGTGAACTCCTCCTCGAATAACACTAGTCAATATTCATTATTTTGATACTCTCTCTCTTTGTTACTCTATCAAGATGATGCTTCCTCCTCTTTACATCGGCTATGCTCCTCTTGAAGACGTCTCCACCATGACAGGCTCCAGCCGTTCGTTCGACGGTCCTCCGTTCGACTTCCGGCGACTTCTTTCTTCTTCCTCTTCCTCTTCCACCGGAGCAATCAATCAAAGCGAGCGACGACTCCTCTACCGCTAATGCAACACTACTAATGCAACAAGCGAAAGCGAAAGCGAAAGCGGCGCCTCCACAATTCTGTGTTCTTCCTCTTTCACCATCACGGAGCGACGGATCGATTAGGTCGATCGACAACAACAACAACAAATGACAACAAAAGACAACACTACTACAACAACAACTACTACTACTCCCTTGATTGCTGCTCTATTTGTTTTGCCTTGAAGTCAGTGCCTACTTCGGTAGGGGCAAGGCTCTTGGCAACAATATACAGCTAGCATTATGGTGAAGTACTCCCATCCTTTCGACGCTCCTCCTTCCTCTACCGATGCTCCTTCCTCTACCGACAACATTGTCTCTACGACGACATTGTCTCTACCGATGCTCCTCCAACGACGCAAGTTGCTTCTGTGCTTGATGCCGACTTCGGGCTCCGCCGGAGGCTATGTCATTTTAGAGCGACCATGACACTGAAGCCTGTCAGCTTTCGTTCAACAATGTTGCCCCTATTCAAGAGAATTCAAATGGTCCTCTTCCTCTTGTTACTGTATTCTTAATACAGAGAACGGGTGTGTCTCTTTTGGAACACGCATGCCCAATGCAATACACGGCTCTTAGCCTTATTCGCGACTCGATCCTAGATAGGGCTTGAGTTCGACTCATACTGAGCTCTCGTGAATAGTCATTGAGACAGGGTTCTCATGACCGCTAGTCATACTAGTCGATGGTGAAACATCGCGCTAGATATTTAGCTGGCGTGGAGAGATTCCACGCTACTAATAAATGTAGACGAATCTGTTTATCGCGCAGCTTAGACTCGAAGCTGGTGTACGCGTCTTTGGCAATTCATGGTGAGGAATAGTTGAGGTAGCTGAAAGCTATTGTGTTTGTTAACAAATCATACGCTAAAAGCTGTGTAAGATCTTTCGAGTGTTTTGAGTTTGAGAGAATGAAAGTTATGAGAGGATTAGAAAGCTATGAAAACTAATCACGAGAGAGATCCACAATCAAAGGATCGTAGATCTGAACTCCCGCGGGAGACTGTAAAGTGTGAAGAGTAGGTTGCGTAGCAATCCTACTCACTCCACGATCCAAAAACGGAACGCGTGGAAA